TGGTTAATTGGCAAAATACATGTCATTCTGACATTGTAAATATAGTTTTAATTAACTTGAGCCTAAATTTTATAGGGATAATCAGGCGCGGATCCAGACCTTCGCCCAGTTCGCCCAGGCGAAGGTCAGGGTGAGAAATAAAAATAAAATTTTTACTATTTTTTTAACAATCATACCTACATTCATTGACTTTTATTTTGAATAGGCCTATTACCATTAGGACTTCATTTAAATCCACACTAGCCTATATCTTACACTTTTACACTGATTGTACTGTAGGCTTCTACTAGAGAGGTTCATTTCCATTACACATTACATGGTCTTCCATTTCTATAGCGCATGATACAGTGCACGACAAAAGTTACGTAACCACTACTAACTCGGAATCACTCAGCTCAGTCGTACATGTGTCTATCTCGGCATTGACACCGGGTGTTTTTAGCATTACTTTAAAGTAATAACCTATCAGACTTTCACCTGAACAACTAAACGAATGAAAATATATTTCTATTAACTATTGTTTTCAGCAACATCTAGGATGTAAGGAAAGTGGGGGGGGGGGTGTCAGGGCCAGCCACGAGAATTGAAGTGGTCAGGACCAGGATGCAAGCGAAGCGAGCACTGAGGCTGGGGGCCAGTGGGCCACCGGAGGCTACGAACGGGGTTCAGGGGCCAGAGGACCCGGGATAAATTGGCTATTTTTCCATTGTATAGGCCCCTACAACAACTTTAATGTTCTGTAGAAATCTAATATATAGTTTAAAATTATTTTTTATATAAAAATACAGGGGCGGATTTAGGGAACGGCCCGGCCCCCCCATTTTAGGAGGTGTAAAAAGGGGGAAAAATAAAGAAAAAGAAAAAAAGATAAAAAAGATAGCCCAGAACGCCGTGGTGACGCCGGTAGGGTCAATTTTCGTCGGAAGGTATCAAGATGATAAACAATTTCATTGGACTAAATTCTTGCTTATGTTAACCACATGCGTACCTAAGATTATACTGACACTTGTTTCAAATCACTGTCAAGTAGTTAAAAATCACCTTATTTTGGGAATTAGCGCTCCTCAACTGATCATCGAGCCCCCTCACTTCACCTTCGCACCCCTCATCAGCCCCCATTTCAAGACATCTAGATACGCCACTGACTTACATGGCCAGATAAATGAAAATACTCAATCGATGTGCCACTAAATCGTAACCAGCCTTCACCATGCTCTCACGATGTCACCGGTGACGCAACTTCCAAAAAACTATTTTTGGCAGCGAAAGGACGCTACCAATAAACAATCAACAAACTACCGGGTTTCTGGGTTGATTTGCAAGGTACCGTACTACATGGCTCAACTATTTTTTACTCAGGGGTTAATTGGTAAAAATCTCACACAGATCATACGACATCACGATTTGAGATTAATTTTCCGAATAAAAGTTATACTAAATAACTTCTAATGACGAACTATTGTCTTCAGTTGTCTTTGTTGGTCATTCAACTGTCATTTTGTCTATTTTTTCGGTGATATTACCATTCTCAATACTCTATAAAACACCCACATAACAACGTCACTTTAGATCGATCGGTGGGGACGCCGTGGTGACGCTAGTAGTGTCAATTTTAGTAGGAAGGTATAAGGTAGATAAACAGTTTCATTGGACTAAACGCCTTAAATGTTATTTTCGGGCGTCTAGAACACAAAAAGTTCACGGGAGATGCCCCCGGACACCTTAGGACAGTGTTGTCTTGATCGGCCCAACTTTCGGCCCCACTTGGACATCTCTGGATCCGCTTTTGAAATAATATTTCATAACATATTATGTTTTAAACGAATATCAGGGCTATGATGAATATGAATTATTCATTTGTTATATTTTTTTCACAGACACATAAATAAATGCCTGAACTGATATTTTATGAGTTTCATATTACATTAAAATGTGTTTTCCAGCGACAGAAGAACGGTAGCTCTCTTCTCATGACCCCACCCACTATGGCAACCCATCTGTGTTATTCAGGGTAAACTCTGGATTCGCGCTTTTGACATGTATTTAAGACAAGTGCTTAATAAAATGTATATATAAGGTATATATATTTATAGAAAATAATGTTGCATACTAGAACTATCAGGAATAAATATACAGATAAAGGCATGTTTTTTTTTCTTGTGAGTAGACTAGGTAATTTAGTGAAGTCCTAGGCAAGTGTATAAGGGAACCTTAAATCTGATTTTCTGTTAAAGCTCGCTGTGTGTATTAATTGACCTACTTGAATTGGATAAAGGCTCCCACCCACCCCTGGATACGTCCCTGGTGGCTATCGGCCCTGCCTGGGGTGTGTGCTGATGAAATGATAGTCCACACTACGTCAACGCAGCCGTGGTTGGCGGTGACGCGAAAATTTCAGTATTATTATTATTATTATTATTATTATTATTATTATTATTATTATTATTATTATTATTATTATTGATAATAAAATATGGATAATTAAAATGCCTAAACAGTATTTATTTTTTAAGATATAAATATCAGAAAATCGTTGTCGCACACTAAGACCACAATAAAATTAATATCATTGTAAAAGTCTAATCCCAACCTTGAATTTTGAAGAACTTTAAAGTCATTTAAAACACACTTCAAATGTCGGGAAAGCTCATTTCCCGCCATTATTACAGTTGTAATAACTTATAAGCCTACAGGTAAATTGCGTTATATAAGAATGAACTATTATTATTATTATTAATATTATTATTATTATTATTATTATTATTATTAAAATATGGATAATTAAAATGCCTAAACAGTATTTATTTTTTAATATATAAATATCAGAAAATCGTTGTCGCAAACTAAGACCACAATAAAATTAATATCATTGTAAAAGTCTAATCACAACCTTGAATTTTGAAGAACTTAAAAGTCACTAAAACACACTTCCAATGTCGGGAAAGCTCATTTCCCGCCATCTAGGAATCAAAATTTTCCCGGGGGAGAACCTCAGGACCACCATTTCTTTTAGGGATTTATCGATTCATGGAAAAAAAAGAATACGTATGCAACTACTCATTGTTTTATGTATGTATACACACATAAAATAAAAAATGAGAAAAATTTACCTGACCGTTTTTAAGAGGGGAAAACCTTTGAATGTTGAAGAACTTACAAATAAAGTCATTAAAAAGTACAGTACTTCAGAAGTCGGAAAAGCTCATTTCCCCCCCCCCCCCCCCCCCCCCCCCCTTTAGAAATCAACATTTTCCCGGGGAGAACCCGAACCTCCCTTTCATTTTGAGTTCATTGATTCATATAATCATTTTCGAGAGGGGAAAACCTTAAAAGTAATTAAAAGACACATCAGAAGTCGGGAAAGCTCATTTCCTACCTTCTAGGAATAAAATTTTCCCAGAGGAGAACCCCCAGAACACCCTTTCTTTTTGGGATTTATCGACTCACGGAAAACAAATACGTATACGTAAGCCTATGCAACTATTCATTTTTTTTTAAAATGTATGTATACACACATAAGGCCTATTTACTGTAATAAGAATGAGAAAGTTTACCTGACCAATTTTTCAAGAGGGGAAAACCATTAATTTTGAAGAACAAGTCATTAAAAGACACCTAGCTCAAAAGTCGAGAAAGGTCATTTCCCACCATCTAGGAATCAACATTTTTCCCGGGGGGAACCCCCGGATCCCTTTAGGAAAAATGTTGACCCCCACCCCCTAGATTTGATTCCAGATCCCCATTATTCATATTCCCATTCATCTCACTAGTGGACCACCACTTTGAAAAACGTTCTGCCAGCCCTGTAATTAATATAATATATTGTTGGTTTATACAAATCCTTGTTGATTTATTGATTGATTATCGGATGTCAATGCTTAAAATTTTAAATTAGTTAAAAAATGAAAAACATTATTAAGGCTTAGCCACACACATTAATTTTTTAAACTCCAAAAATGGAATGCATGACATCAAAATATAATACGATTACACATTTGTTGATGTCATTCCCATGCTAATATTTCGTCTGAATACAAAAGCCCATTTGAAATGTGCTTTTATGAATTATAATTAGGCCCTATGCTAACTCCAAATATGGGAATCTTGTCAAACAAAATAAAAATAGTATGGGTTCTATAAATAGTATAGAATTCTATACCCTTTGGTAATAACCATTACAGTATTTATCAAAATCCTCATGCAACAAATGAGGAAATAACATTCTGAAATCTAATATTGTAGCTATAGAGGACACTGCAGGCACCGCGGGCAGCTTTTAGTCAGTAATAATATAATGTTCTTTTCTAATATAATGTTCTTTTATCTTGACCGCTGGTACCGCAATCGGTACGGTATTACTTCTTAAACTACGAACAGTGTATTTTGCATATGCAAATAAATGTTTGTTATTTATATACAGTATTGTTAAATACCATATGGCTTCCTTTAAGATAATATTTTTTTGTCACGCATGTAATTATTTTTTAGTAATTTTACATACATATAATATATTGTTGATTTATACAAATATACAAATCCTTGTTGATTGATTGATTGATTGATTATCGGATGTCAAAGTTTAAAATTTTAAATTAGTTAAAAATGGAAAATTCAAACATTCTAAATTAGACACACATTTTTAATGTGCTTAAAATAGACTGACTCCTTAAATAAGGAATGCATGACATCAACGGCAGTATAATATTTCTGCAAATTTGTTGAATTTCCATTGTTAAGCTTTCGCATGCATACAAAAGCCCATGCTTTTGTACCTTAAGTTATAAATGGATTAAAAATGGAAAATTCAAACATTCTAATTTAGACACACATTTTTAATATACTTAAAATAGACTAACTCCTTAAATATGGAATGCATGACATCAACGGCATTATAATATTTCTGAAAATTGGTTGAATTTCCATTGTTAAGCTTTCGCATGCATACAAAAGCCCATGCTTTTGTACCTTATGTTATAAATAGGAGAATGTTGACATACAAAATAAAAATATTATGGGTAATACCAACTTTTGTATTACTCATTATTCATCAAAACCCTCATGCAACTAATCAGGAAATAACATTCTCAAATCTACTATAAAACGGTTACAGTATAACTGCTTTTGAAATCTTTAGGAGATCAGCTCTCGGGTCAACTTTACTCACCAGTTCCAGACCTGTCTTTCAATAAATGTAATCTTCCTACTCCATGAACAATATTTTTATAGCAGGTAGGAATAATCTTAATTTACTTAATTTGATAGACTATCATTAATTTGCTTTTTGTAGTTATTCATTATAAATAGGAGTGATTCCACTAATTCAAGTTCAGTACAGTTCCAACCTTTTTTCCAGTTTTAACGTAGCAATAAAAACTGTCTCATTGATGAAAGAACAATTGCCAACTAGTTACATTTTATGACAGAAAGATACTCAGGTAGTCGCTGTTTTGATTCCAACTGTAGCCATATTCTTTGCTCTCCATTTCAGTCACAACAAATCTAAGCTGTGGATTAAAAGTGCCGCACTAAAAGCAAGAAGTATACTCAATTAAATAAGCAAGTTTATACGGATACTAGCAAAAAAGAAAACAAAATTAAATACTTACTTTCTCTTTCAGTTCAACATGTCATACTTCCACATCGGAGTAATCCTAGCAACAGCTGCCATTCTCCAGGTTTCAACTTATCCGGTGGTAGTTTTTCCTGAGTATTTTATTACTGATGTTGGCACTGAATCTGTTACCACCACCTGTACTGTATCACTGGATCAAGTGTCAAAACCATATTCTGAATATTCGATTCGTTGGGCGCATGGTCGTACATTAGGTACCAAAATAGTTGCTAATAATGGTACAGTGGTTAATCAAAATAAGTATAGTCTTCATGAAATGTCATCCATTGCAAGCGACGCCACCATTACCCAAAGTTTGACGGTACATGGAATTGAAGAAGATGACACTGGTGGATACTGGTGTAATCCCGTTTTTTTTAGCAATGATAGTGTACCTTTTGGACGGTCCGCAATTTTTAAAATGGTTGTAAGGAATGTCATCCCTCTAATTAGCTGTGACTACAAACCTTGGTCTCGAGAGTTGACATGTTTCTGTCATCCAGGTGATCCACCACTAACACTGCAATGGTTTGACAAAGACGGCAATGTACTGGGAGAAGGAACTCAATCGGGATATACTAATTATGTATCCGTTGAGCATGCAGTACCCACTGAGTCTTCTATAGGCGAACAGTTCACCTGTGTAGCTACTAGTCCAGGAACAGTAACAACACAGGAATGCATAGGTACTCAAATCATGCCAACTGCGGATACTATAGAATTCTCGTTTATTTATCATCAGTCAACTATGGATGGGTTACCAGCTACAGAGGTGGTTCCAATGATATCAAACTTCAATGACGCATCTGGTAATAGTTACGTTACCTCACCATCAACGACACATGTAGGCTACAACCAAAATATCCAAACAGAGTTTTTTTCCACACCAAGCTCCAATGACGAATCTGGAAATAGTTACCTTTCCACATCACCAACACTACCATACAGCATACAAAATATCACAACATATACTTTTGGAGCAACTAATGCTGGGAATGTGCACACGCTAACACCCAATCAAATTTACTTATCAAAAGACTTAATTATTGTCATATCTGTCATTGGTATGATGATTATTGTAATGAATATGGCGTTAATGTACATAATCATAAGAAAAAATAAACACACATGTGATACTGGGATGTCAATGGAACCATATCGTCAGCAACATGGTGATTCCACACATCAACATCAAGCTGCTCCATCAGAAGATATTGATGGTTACTTCAGTTATATCCCCAGCCATCACGATCAGTTGGGAGCATCAGGTGCTCCCTCACAAGATAAAGATGGTTACATCAACTATAACCCCCATTACGATGAGTGTGTGTGAATCATCTATACGAAAGCAGTAAGCCTAAGTTAACTTTAAAGGAATTAATTTACTTTAATAACAGTGTTACAATATGTGGCCCACATGTCCTGGTAATCCAAGATAAAGTGATACAGCCACCAAAATACAATATTTTCAAATTTATTCGTTTATTTTTATTTCAAAGAATACAGACAATTTAAGTGACTAATTATAGGCTTAAATACTTTATGCACCAATTAAAAAGTAATTAATAATTTTTGTTTAAATGGTCTTTTTAACTAAGGTAAGCACATTCAACGGGTATCTAAATTATCCCTCCGCTGGCGCCACCCAGGTGATAATTACAAAATAATTTTACTACTTAGATGGTAATAAGATTATTATAAATAATATAACCATGTTATAATTTTATCTTTTTTAGATGTTTATTTCGCATATAATCTTAGCGTCCTTAATTTTTGTACGCCTTATGATTTTTAATCTTTAGGAATAATTATTTGTTTTTGAAATGTATATTAATCGAGTGTTTTTTTTTTTAATATTATTTATTTTTATTTATTTATTTGGGGGGTGGGTGGGTATAGCCAGGCCTATTGTACTGTTAGCAATAAATAAAAATCTACATATAATCATAGTCACTTTTACCAATATGGTTGTCTATAAAGTAGCTAGATCATTGTAAAACAATAAATATTTTTTAGTTGTAATAAAAATTAAATCTTTCACTGTCAGTCTGAGAACCTTCACTTCTTTAATAATCATTTTCTCCTAACTTTCTTCGTATAAAACTGTTAATAAGAAAACCCAAATATTCTCAATTTCATTCGTTTGGTTGGAACTTATAATCTAAGACCTTCATAGGTCATTGAAAAAAGAAACCAGCTTTTCGTGAAATGGGGGATGCAATGGTGGAATGAGATGCCTGCTTGAAGGCATAAGGGTACACCCCAGAAAAAATCCTTTTTTAATGCCTTTGGAATGTCATTCCTTACATTCTGAGAGGTCTGTTATTTACTGCAAAACCGTCTTAATTCGATTATGGTGATGATGATAATGATGATGATGATGATGATGATAATGATGATAATGATGATGATGATGATGATGATGATGATGATGATGATGATGATGATGATGATGATGATGATGATGATGATGATGATGATGATGATGATGATGATGATGATGATGATGATGATGATGATACCAATGATGTTAATCCTAAAAGAACAAGCCCATGGCTAGGGGTGAAGGGCTGGAAAAATCTGCAGGTTCTTTTTTCATTTTTTAATTTTTTTATAAATTTGAGTGGTTTTCAGTAAGCAAGTCTCTACACTCAGAGCAAAACAAGACATTAAAACACAGATAGAAATCTATGGCTTATCCACTGACAAGGGAGAATGTTCCTGACAGGCAAATTTCAAATTTTGCCGACAGCGCCTTTGTGAAAAGTTTGTTTCACATGATATCAGCACTGGACGGTTCATGTTGTGTGGATGGTTGTTGAATGATATCTTCTATATAAATTCACCAAGTATTTTTCTGATACAAATTCAAATGAAGTTATATATACTTACAAGCGGAAACAGTATGAATTCAACTTATTTATAACCGAAATAATTATCTTTAATTTCTTTAATTTCGCGCCTTAAATTGCAGGCGAACGATGCAGTGATGACTAGTTTCACAGCACATATTACATCTTGTTATCATTTTCCACGTTTAGAAAGGAACAATTTCATGGTTTATATTTTTGGTACGATGCATTTTAATTCATTTTTTAAGTCTGACTACCAACTTCCTTTAGTTGGATCCAAATGTTTCCTACTGGGGATTGGTTAACACATTTTTTTTTCATTTTTTTTTAAAATTATCATTCTTATTATTGTTATTGTTATTGTTATTGTTATTATTATTATTATTATTATTATTATTATTATTATTATTATTATTATTATTATTATTATTATTATTATTAAGATAATAATAATTATGATTATAATTATGATTAAGTATAAGCCTTCGCACTATATTTTCCCCTAAAAAATAAATTACACTTTTTTAAAGTTATGATATTTCAGAATTATTAGTTGGTATGGATGGCAACAATGTTAAAACCAATTAGCCATTCATATAGGCCTACAATATTACAAAAATATCGATGTTGCTTTTAATCATTATCCTATTACATTATACCTTTTCCTGTGATAAATTAAGTGAGAATTATCATGATTGAAAACAGCAAATGCAGTGAGCAGATGTAAACAGAGGAATGTCAACGAAATGCATGTTTTAAATGTCACATTGCCTTCAATCATTGTACAATATGACGACTACATCAATGACGTGTCTAAAGCTATGGTTTCAATCAGCTTTAACTTTTAATACAATTTAACTAGCTGCAACCAAGTAAAAGAAAAACTGATCTTAATAATTAGTAGAGTTGCCTCACCCCCACATCATCTCAGCCCGGGCCAAACTATAACATGGTGGCATTTAGAGTTGATACATCGTTAATTTTGTTTTCGCCTCAGCCGTATGGTGAGGTTGAGGTTGGTGTAGACGCTCCTTGCGTTTGCCGTTCCCTCTATATTTTACAAAAATACGTCTATTTGATGGATACAAAATTAAATGTGAGTCTTAGTGTCAAATTAAAACACTTTAAAAACACGATTTGTTTAAAGTGTGAGAGTGCTATTTTTGAGTTACCACTCCCTTACATTTTGTAGGCCCCCCACCCCAAAATACGCGTACCGCTAGGCCAAGCAACATGGAACATACACAATAATTGATAGATTACAGTATGCATCACTTGTACACTTGACGGTACCTTGTTTTGCTTAGCTTTCTGTTGAAGTTCTTGCTTTGCGTTGTACTGCTTTTTTAAACAACTCTTACAGAGATAAGTTTGTTCTTGGCCATGCAACCGAGCTATTCGCTATAAGACAACGTAGAATAATTAAATAATTATTAATTTAATGTTTTCATGTGTCATATTGGTTATTGATAAATGGTATACGTGTGCTCTGTTACTTAGATTCTGAACTGATTCAACAATTAAAGAAGGAATTATATTTAATAGGCCTAAATATAATTTCATCAATAATTACAGCATTACATTATAAATGATAACTTTAACCGTCGACATTATGGTAATAAATTGTAGAAATAATGAATCCTAACAAAATGGCATGTGTTCCCTCCATAACTGATCTTAATCATGATTCCTTACTCTGGTCTATTTCATAATTTCCAAAGGTATTTAATTTTAAAGTAACTAATGTAAATGAAATTCAGGATTTTTTCTGCTCTTTCATAGACCTTTGTCTACATCAATATTCATTAAATATTTATTTTATTTTTTAAATATTTTTTTTGTAACTTCTAATACTATATAGTATTGCAGACCATATACCTCTTTTTAGCTGGTGCGTACTTGCCAGGTATACTTTACCGGAAGTCTACAAAATAAGCAAAAACAATTAGTTATATAAATGTTAGTGGGACGGCGAAACTCAATTAATAGTGTCTTCTGGGCCTGTTTTATTTATTTTCTTAAATCACCTCAACTTTTTACATTACTGCGGTGTTTTCTTTCTTTCATTAAAAAAAAAATAGGCCTAAATGCCATTATAGTTTGGGGCTGCCATTAAATAGATTCTTTGTTCCTTCTTGGTTTTACCCTCCTGGGGCGATCGCAACCCCTAGATTGTATGAAGAAAAATAATTGTTGTATTGTTGATATGAATTACCGGATTTTTAAGGTGCGAGTGTGCAATTTCTGGGCACCTAGCGGTCCATACTCTTAAAATGTTCTGTCCTCAGCCGGCCCCAGCCATGGTGGGGCTAAGGTGGTGTAGACTCTCCCGCACCCCCATCTCCAAATTCTTCATCCACCCCAGCAATTTCCCAGAAAACGACTGCCATATCATTGGGAAATGTGTTAATGTTGTGGTTGTGGGCAATGCGCGTATTCCTCTCCCCTTCTATTGGCCCGTTGTTACGTTTTTATGACGTTAAAGCTTAGTTTGCTACGAAATTGATTTTAAAAGTTTGTAACGTATTACAGACAAGTTAGATAAACATTTCGAGCTATGTTAAAAATTAATTACCTAAATTTAAATGTATTAAAAACAGCCTCCAATACAAAGAAGTATACAGTTAAATACATTAAAAATATAAAATAAAATAAATTAAAACATTACAAAATATTTCAGACCTACAGTACATGTAGATTATTAACTTAAAATTATATTTATGGTATGAATTACGTATTGCATTAATAGGCTACATTAATTCACTTGGTTACCTTTTATCTCTTTATCTGGCTATGTATCATCCTTTACTGACAAATTTTAATTACTATAAATAATGCCGAATTTCTATGTAGGTTTGAGATGGAGATAGATTAGGGGAAGATTCCACCCAAACTATCGCCTTCCTCCAAACTCACCAGCTATAGGATGTAACTTTGTGACACTCCAAAAGTGATCTCTTCATTAATTTTGGATGCCACCTTCTCCACTAACTACTACTAACAGTGTTCCATTCCTCTGTTATTCAGATCGATTTCCATGTCTTCCTCGGGCCCCTAAAATATGTCAATCCAATCATTCTCAACTGTAATTACCATAAATGCTCGAATAAACGTTTTTAAATAAATGATTGTGTCTTCATTGTGTTATTTATTTATTTTAACACTGCCCTGTTTCTTAAAGTGCTTTATTACACACAGGATAATATACTGTATACTCTCGATTAATCGCCTTGGCGCTAAGCTAAAAAATCAGGTTTGGTGCAGCGCTTATTCGAGCATTTAGAGTAATGGCTCTTTTCTTCACACTCACTGCCATCTCAATGCTTCCAGCCACCTGATATCATACTTTAGCAATGTATGATGCCACATTCCACATTTCACGATTTTCTGTACATTAATATTTATTTCCATTATGGTACACACTAAAAGTCGATAAAAACTGATACAATATACAAAATGGTTAAACTCTGATATTGTTATGTTTGCATACACCAATCCCATACAGAACCTTCTACACCACCCCCAAGATACAGGCCTGTACTAACATTATGTGGTTATATTCCTTCCTTGATTCTGTTAAACTATACTGCTGTACTATTTTTATACATTTTGTACAAAAAAACCCATATAAAATGATGATTGTATCAACAGTGACAGTTGTTGTCATTAGTGATGTACTGTCTTAATAATAATGTCATTAATAATAATTTGCATTTGCTTTCTCAAGTAAACTGGAGATGAAAGTCAGCATAGTCGGATGTCTTGTCTTTCCCCTTTCCCATACCAGTATACGACCATGTGTATTTTATTGGCATTGTTTAAATGTTCTGAAATTTCTGTTTGAACTTTCTTTGAACTTTCGCTTCAAAATTTAATCATTCTTCTTTAGTTCAACATATATCACCACAATAAATTATATGATGATCCATTCATTAGTTTTCGCGTAATCCAGCTACCAGGAAGACAGACAGACATAAATATATAGTGGTGGATATAATAAATACACAATTATAAACTAATAGTAATAATAATATATTTTATTGTTATAAAGGATTATTTCCAAGGTCTTTAAATTCCACATCTAAACCCAAAGATTTAGAAATTTCTTGAGTCAATAAATCATCGAGTGAAACGCCATCATGAAGATAGATCCAATGATTGTCTATGTAGTCGTATCGTTTTGGGCCACTGAAATAAAAAATGTACCAGAATTTAAAATTATATAATTTTTTATATATTTTACTTTGCAAGAGTAACAAGCAGAACAGTACTACAACATTTAAATGCTCATCTGTTTGCAAGTGAACACATCTTCCTATGTTTGTTTCGTGTTCACCACGATTGAATTAAAATACTCAATGACTTGCTTGCTTAATATGTTCGAACTTCTAAGCCATATAAAAATGCACTGGAGCAACCATAATAATACAGTAATAATAATTAGAATAATGCATGTCAGTATAAACTTAAATTAATAAAATAACATTACTTCCTCGCCTACTTGTGCTATTACTGTATTTTATATTTCCTTATTGTTTTTATGCATGAAGACATTATGATGTCCGTACCTTTTCTATACTGTTTTTATATATAATGCTTTTTAAATTCTCTTTCTACTTTTTGATTTTGCCAACTGAAGATACTTTTCCTTTGTATTTTATATGATCGAAAATAAAGTTTTATTCGTATTCGTATTCGTATATGATCGATATTGAATGAAAACGAGAACAATTATCTAGCCAAAAAGTACTTTTTGAAATCACAACAGCACACATATTTTGCGAGGTACAAATGCATAACCTTTAACCTTTCAGATGGTAGGTCAGGATCAAATGCTGCCTGAAAAAGGTGCATTTCATCAACAATCAGAATGGTACACCCTCCGTAAATATGCTAATACAAAGAAATAAACAATATTACTGTATAAGATTACGCCACACTGACCTGATAGGAGACGATAACCATATTTGGCGGTTTGGTGTTTGTTTGTTGATGACGTACGTTCCCAAGTTTCCACCAAGTTTCACAGTTAAAACGCCATCCTGCAGAAAATATTCATTAAACAAATTATCTAATTATCAAGCAAATCTTTACCGAGCCACTAGGGCCTATAGAGGCTGAAGATTATGCCCTGTTTCTGTAGCATGAAGTGGATGCGAGTATGATGCTCCTCCTGGGTGGGACGCTAATCCACTGCAGGTTACTCCCCTCAGTTTGTTGGTACCCTTTAATAAAGCCGGGTAGATTGAAGCATTGTACATAAAGCACTCCAGGACACAAGAGAAATGCACAGCGAAGGATCAAAACCCCGATCTTGAAGTTGGGAAACCAAACTGTTCCAATGCGCCAAACCGCTTCATATCTAATTATCAGAAACACTATAAAAAGTTTATAAATATATATTTCAGTTACAGCATTTTAAATTTGCAAAATAATATAATGAGCATGTTCAAAGTTTGAAAATGATGGGAAAGATTCAAGGTCCAACCTCTCAATAATCTATAAAAATTTTATATTATTTTTAATTGTTTTTCCAAATTACTAAAATGGTCCTTACAGCAGAGGTGACATCAAAGTCTGAAGGGCAATCTTCCAGGTTTGCAACCCTTTCAAAGACGTCTTCAATGGCAGTTAATGTATCCTCTGCCAGCTTTTCATAAAAGATCAGATCCATCTCACTGAAAAAAAAACCATATTTTTTTTGCCAAACAAATATTATATATACTAATATGCCAAAAAAAAACAGTAAAGTAACAATATCCATGATATAAATATATTTAAACACAAGTGTAAGCATTTATAACAACACTGCAGATAATAGGCTTCTAAATTTTGAACAATTTTGAGAATGGTTGAATAGTTTAAATAAAGAGGTTCTAATATACCATCTTAAGCAATAAAATATCTCGCCTTTGACACCAAGAAAATATTAATAATAATAACTTTATTTTAAAATGGAAAAAACTTTTTTCACAAGGCCATTTTTGCACGAAGATACAAAAAAAAAACAATCAAATTGAAATACATACTGTAAAAATAAAGTAAAATTTTAAAATTATAATGACTAAAAAGTCATGTCATGACTAAGTTTTTTGTTCGTTATTTAAAATATTTAATCCTGTCAGTTAATTATAGATATCCCTTTGTTCAGAACTCAGCTAGCTGTACGAGTTTAACCAACTCTTTGCCTGTTTTTTGAGACACCACTTATTAGCATTTATCACACCTCAAAGACATTGAGATATCTCAACATATGCGCTGTAAATGCTCACTTGACGTACCTGTCTGTAGTGTTTGTTCTTGTTTGTACCATACTCACATTTTGTAAAAACTTGGTAGTCTTGGGAAATGACTGTAGTAAAAAACAGACAGAAATGAAGAATACATTCATATAGTAATCAAAATAGGATACAAAAGATTGAAGTTTTCACTGTATACCAAAAGTAATTTTGTATTCAAGGGGGGGGGGGGGGCTTTTAAGCACGAAGTGTTTTGCCTTTATCCCAAAGGACAAAAGATGCCAACAGAAACAAGTAAACTGTGCTGATATAGCCTCATCTGTTCAAATTTACAATAAAGGTACTGAACTATTCCTAGCTTGACCATTCTCTGGGATAGGCAAATGTTAGGGGCGGGGTAGGTCCAGCAGGGGTAGGCCTACGCCATCTCTACCTACTCTACTAGCTAGCCCCACCAGGCCCAGGGGCGACCAACTATTAGTATTACTTGCTAGGCTCTAGGGCTAGGCCTAGCCTGCCTGGGTCTAGCCCTAGCCTTAAGGGCCAACTCACCGTTAACATTCGGTCGGAGCATTGTATGATTTGAAAGTGAGTATCAACAAAGTTATGTTTGTTCCTTATGCAATTCCATTTGAACCTCGTTCCAACATTTTGCTTGAAAATTGTAAAAAATATTATAGTTGGTCGAGTCAGTGCCTTTTTTATGGACGCAGCCATCTTAGAAAGTAGTACTGTAACAAGGGGCGCCCTTCACTTTTATTAGAAAGGTTTATGAGAGCCCGTACTATTTTGACCCGTAATTTGAACACCACCTTTAAAAAGAATATGCTACATAATGATTCTTAGATGCTTGGTGGTGTGTTTGTGAGTCAGAAAAAATATAATATAGTACTCAAAATGTCTATTGATGAGCCGTAATATTTGAGAATATTATAGAATGTCAAATGCGAAACATCAGCATTAGAGGACCACTGAAAAACCAAATCGTCAAATTTACATCAAAGACCTCAGCGAAATTATCCAATTCAATTCAAAGAGAAAATTTATTTACTTGCTCAAACAGTTTTTAATAATATTAATTATGGGAAATTATTATAAAAAGTTAATCAAGTGGTTTTCAAATACTAAATAAAAAAGAAGACTCGGAAAGGGAAGAAGGCAAATGGCCGAGAAGATTTGAAGCAAATCTTGTGTTTGGCCATCCTAAAATGAAAATTCAAAGCAGAACAAGGACAGAATAAGAACACAGGACAGTGCGGACAATACACAACAACAGCAGATAATAATAATCTTTCTCTTGATGTCAGACAGCTTACGCTCAGTACATTTAAACAGTGGTGGCGGCAGAGGGGGCTGGGGACTATAGCCCCCCCCCCCCGTCGGGGAAGACGATATAGTTTGTCGGGGAACAAACAAATAAAAACATATTTACATGTAATATTCGTTTAGCCACCATATTGTTTGTGTTAACTTTTCATCACAACAACAACAATAACAACAACAACAACAACAACAACAATAATAATAATAATAATAATAATAATAATAATTCAATGAGAATAATTAAAAATAACTTGCGTTTTGTTATGACAAATGCTCATTTAGATAATTTGCGTTCTGTTATGACAAATGCTCATTTAGATAGCCTCATGATGGTTGGAATACATCGTGATAGGTGAAGCAACCTCGACCATGACAGCGTGGTTGACAGATTTAATGCAAAATTTCCAAAAATATAGAATTTCACTTTCAAGAATGAGGATTTTAAAATAAATTAGATGGTTACATTGCATACTCTTTGTTTCTTGCTTTATTCAAAATGTTTTGGTTTTGGAAGCTGATTTCAACATTAGAAAGCATAGCCTACATGGAGTCATATTATAGTAACTCGGTGTCTATCAAATAAGTAATAACAAATCGCCATAATTCATCAAATACCCGTGGCTTCCAGGGGGATTCGCCCCCTGGACCCCCACTGGGGCCCCTAGGCGTCCCTCAGCCAAGTGAGACTCGATTCGCTCTACTAGCCCCCCCCCCCGTCGGGGCCTTTAGCCCCTCCGTCGGGTAGGTCTTGGCGCCACCACTGCATTTAAAACCTCCCTCTTCCGTGCTCTCTTATAAAATTCAGCTTCTTCATCCCTCGCAACGATCATCTTGTCTATTTTTGTATGTCTCAACTGTCCTGAATTTTTTAAATTGTATTATTTTCATTGTCATTGTTTAAAGCCTAGCTTAATTAAATCTCTTTTTGTTCTGAATATGTATATGGTAAGTGGATCACATTGGGAATAGGAGTTTAATTTCTTTTATAGCCTGCCATCTCTATCTAAGAGAGATGTGTATAAGAGACAGAGCACGAAGTGTTTTGCCTTTATCCCAAAGGACAAAAGATGCCAACAGAAACAAGTAAACTGTGCTGATATAGCCTCATCTGTTCAAATTTACAATAAAGGTACTGAACTATTCCTAGCTTGACCATTCTCTGGGATAGGCAAATGTTAGGGGCGGGGTAGGTCCAGCAGGGGTAGGCCTACGCCATCTCTACCTACGTTCGAAGAACATTTTATGCGGTTGTACTTCGCAGCACTTCACTTGCAATTTGCAATTTCTAGTTTTAAAATTAGTAGGATGAGTAATTTCAACAAAAATGGATTCACAAGTAGAAGGATCGAGGTACTCTGATGGAGAATTGAAGGCATTCACGGATTTAGGAGGTATAAAATAAATTACCTCCTTGCACGGATAGGCCTACATGGCTGCGCCACCACTGTCTTTTGCAGTTCTGTGATTGACAAAGGAATATCCAGAAATTTTAACTAGGGGATCATATTTTAGCCAGGTTTCGCCCATTGCAATTAGGCCTACATCAAATGAATTAGAGAAAGAAGAGATGCTTTATATGATCGATCCAATGGGCAGCGCTTAGCAGAAAAGTCTATTACATCCAATTTGCAAAAGCCTAGCTGTCACCAACACATCGCTGGTTATGTAGTTGACCTGGCCACCAATCGTTGAGCTATAAATGATTCACGTTGGTGAAAGATTCTTTTCATGGCAAACAGAATTATGGTATTCCCTGATAAATATGGTCCGCTTGCAGTTATAACTCGGTGGCTGAGCAGTGATGACGCCAGCGGGGGGGGAGGGGTCAGGGTGGGAATCCCCCCCCCCGGATAGGCTTGGACACACTGTCGTCCGACGCACGATTAGATCGTCGAATCAAAAATGGGGAAAAAAATAATTTGCCTATCTAAATAACTTTGTTTTGACTACCAATTCCTAATATTGTGGTCTAAAAGCACATTTTGGACTATATTAAGCCATAAAAACTCTCTCCGTGAGCCCTAGAGGGGTTTTTATTCTGGGCCGTCGTCCGATGCTTCGCTGGCTCCCTGGCTCGGACCCCTCCGTCTGACATGTCATGTGTCTGAGGTCTATAATGTAAATCTATCGTCTATGTTAACATTCTCCCGAAACGGTTAATTGATCATTTAAATGGATCAATTGAAGGCCTACAGAAAGAGCAAAGCTGATTGAAGCTAGAAATATGAACGTAATTCCGATCACTACAGAAGAATGAAGAAAATATTAGTGAGTTTCAAAGTAGGCCTAAAATAGAACGAGAGTAAAAGCCCTTTGCAGCGTTTCGTATTATCTAGTTTATTACAGACTGTATTGATGAGACTGATTGATTGATTGATTGATTGATTGATTGATTGATTAGGAGGCAGTTCCGTAGCATTTCTTTTTGAAGATAGTGAGCCTACATAACATGCGCAGCATTAACAGATTGTACGTATAAAATGTACACATTTCTGACTATCTGAAAAGCTGAAAAAAGCAAGAGCAACGATAAAGTTATTAATTAAATTTTATGTCAATTCTGTAAATTTTAATTTTAATTTTAATGTTTTTCTTAATGATCTTGTTTAGGAATCAATTTTATCGTAATTTTGTTTGTTTTGCTTGAATTTTTCATTGCTCATAAGCGTGTGGTCTTTTGTGATTTTTGCAATTTTTATCTTTAAATTTTTTTATATTGAATACTTTTTCCATGTATATATACTGTGTTGTGCTTTGTTTTGTGAATGTTGTTTGTCTTTGCTTAATTTTGTTAGATTGACGCAATTCAGTTTAATATTGCAATGTAAATTTTTGTTGTTTTTAATAATAAACTAGAATGAATGAATGAATGAAACATGTCTGTATACGTTCAGTTAGTATGGGCACAGTTGACATACAGAATTGGCATATATTAGGCCTATATCTAGGCCTCATTAAGTTTTATTAAAATATAATAGGTAAACACAGTATCTAGTTATAATAATAAAATATTGCACATGATAATGACAGTAAAAACAAATCCCTACAAAATTAAAAAGATTAAAAGTGGGTGACGGCTGGTGACTCTTCAGTGACCTGAAGAATGGAAAAATACAGCACGAATATCGCACGAACTCATTGGTAATAATAGGCCTAAGTACCAATACTTTTTCAACAGATAGTTCAGTAAATAGCATACGTCACGGATGCTCTCGTGCGTATCCAGTTTATTCGAGTTGAGATAAATAATTCATTTCGCTCTAGTCGCAGACAAATCGTGTTCCTTTGGGTAAATTATGTCAAATTCTATAATTCCAGTTGTGGATTTTTCCGCCTATTGCATTCAACGCAATAAACCAGATGAGGAGAGATTTCAAAAATTAATAGAAGATGTTCGTGCAGCTCTGTCAACGATAGGATTCGCCTATCTCATTAATACCGGCCTTTCCGAAAATAAGGTATTCTGAAATTATTTGCAACTTTTGGTTATTTAAAAAAATCCGGTGATTTACTATACCGGTGTTTGATCGTACCTCACCCAACTATAATACTGCCATGAAGTGGTAAGTAAGACTTCAAGTTGTTTATTAACAGAGTCGATGTAACACGTTCACGTGGCAAATCTACCCGGCTTATCCGTTCAAGAGGCGGCCTCTTTAATACAGAAATGCCGGTGTCACGAATATGTAGGCTCCTTTGCAACTTTGGGTTCCATACCCAAATTGTCATTTAAAGCGAACGTTTTGTACCAGCTCAGTCTTAGGACATTGGAAACTACACTGGACAACGCAACTTTAAAAGCTATTTAAAATGTGAAAATCCATATGGATGGCAAATGCAAGTTCTAATGATATACAGATCAGACTTGGGTATGCATGCATGCATTTATGGCTTCAAATAACTTGTGGACACACGCAAATACTGACCTGGTCCTAGGATAGTTGTTGGAGAATGCGTATAAATTAATCTAAAAAGCATTAGAACAAAATTAAATGAATTACGTAAGAACAAGGAAGTACAATACCTCCTTGGTAGGAACTAGAACAATTTAGAACAAAAGTGCGAATGGGTTCCTCAAGATATAGCCTGTTTCCATTGGTTAAATGTCCATGACCTTTTGACTTTTTTAATGGAAAAAATACAGCACGGAAAATTCTTATGGATGGCAAATGCAGGTTGTAACGATATACTCATCAGACTTGGATATGCATCGATGCATTTATACAAGGCTTCACATAGCTTGTGGACCTTTGACTATTTTAATGGGAAAATACAGCACGGAAAATTCTTATGAATGGCAAATGCAGGTTGTAATGATATAGTGATCAGACTTGGGTATACATCATGCATTTATACAAGGCTTCAAATAGCTTGTGGACACACGCAAATACTGAGCTGGTCCTAGGATAGTTGTTGGAGAATGCGTATAAATTAAAATAAAAAGAATTAGAACAAAATTAAACGAATTACGTAAGAACAAGGAGGTATAATACCTCCTTGGTAGGAACTAGACAATTTAGAACAAAAGTCCGAATGGGTTCTTCAAGATCCGCTGGCGTCACACGGTCAAATTTGTACAAAAATTTTGATACAGTTTTTCATTTTGACAGTAGGTAGACACTTGGTATTCCCTAGCCACACTGTTAAATTGTTTGATATATAATTTGTCAGCCCATAAGAATTTTAGGGACAATCTCTATTAAGACCAGGTAAAATTAGGCCACTAGATATGCCAACACCCAGACGTTTTTAGTTTTTGTTCAATATGGATGTAAATTTGTTAGTTACTGTGGTCAGTCTTTTATATTTGGTAAATGAAAAGAAAAAGAAAGTTAAGAGATTGAAAAAAAAACCTACTTGGGTTAGGTCGTGGATTCACAAACGAAATAAATATGGAGCATATCATGGTCTATTAAAAGAGTTGGATGCTAGCGATAAGAAAAAATACAATAACTTTCTCCGAATGGATAAGTCGTCCTTTGATGATATTTTGCAAAAAACCTTTCCTCTACCAAACTCAAAAAAATGCTGTGGGTCTACTGATACAGGATCTTTTTCTATGCAGATCCCTATTATTTCCCAAAGGTCTAAACTTTCTGGCTGTTGATTTTCAAATGTCGTCAAATACTTGTAGAAAATAGGACATGTTCTATTCCTTTCCCATCACTTCGGACACCCAAGGGGACCACAGGTTAAAGCAAAGTTCGCAGTAAAATCACAGACTTGGGACACAAACCAGGTAGCCCCATTAATCATGTTTGCACTGGATGAATATTTGAAGTCAAAAACTGACCGTGTGACGATAGCCTGTTTCCACTGGCTAAATGTCCATGACCTTTTGACTTATTTAATGGGAAAATACAGCACGGAAGCTGTTGGCGTAAAAACAATCAAATTAAATTTTTGAAAGAAATTACCTTAGAATCATATTAAAAGGCGTGTCAAGTTATTTTAAAATAAATATTCATATAGGCTTAATTGAAAGCATGGTTTTATTGGATAGGTTATTGCTAGAATTTTTAGCTGGTTTAAGCAAAACTCTTACCATTCGCCTCACCTTTAAATCCACAACCATTTGCGGCTGATTTGAACTCCAGATAGGGGATGAAATAACAATGGACCAAAGCGATCTCTATTATAGGTACATAAAACACAGTGAGTGTTAAAATCAACTGATCATTACATTCCATTATTTCGACTAAGCTTATCTTCTTGTCCTTGCTTTAATCATGGGTCTGTGCTTTAATCATTTAATCATGCTTTAACTTGGCACATCCGATCAGAGGCCAAAAGGGGCATTTAATGGAAATGACGTAATGTTATATCTGTATATTATTACCGTATTATCAGCAATTATGCTCATAACAATAGGCCTAGAATTATAAAAATTTCTATAAAAACCCATAATCAACTTATATGCTTATAATCCAGCCCTATTTTATTCGCATTTTTAAAAAATCTCTCGGATATTTGTTGGAATTACGAGAACTTTATTGTCACAACGGTATAAATACAGCTATGGGATATGGACTCATATTAGTAAATATAGAAAAATAATTAAAATACATAAAAGTTGCATATAATAAAGATTTTCTATACGAAAGAAATGCATAACAATGAATGTCAATTAATTATTACTCCATTTAGGCCAAGCAACCTGCATACCTTACTCTAATTATAAATCCTGAAGTAAGGACGTTCAGCTCCCATAAAATCCATGCAACACGTACTTTATGTTAGGCCTGCCTTCTATTTTATTTTGATTCAGCTTTCTGTTAACGTGAAAGTTATTTATTTTTTAGACTAAACCCAACCCGACCAAAGGATTTGAAGGAAAGCTTGGACTTCATTCCAGCAACAAGGGATCAATTGAAAAAAGTAAGAAACTTTTGCTCATCCTAAGCTGTTTTCGTCTATTTCGTGAATGCACCAATAGGGCCTATATGCCAATTCCGTTTAGGAACTTACCTCGAAAATAATGGAATCATCCCAGGCTTATATAATAATAATAATAATAATAATGATAATGATAATGATAATGATAATGATAACAATAATAACAATAATAACAATAATAACAATAATAATAATAATAATAATAATAATAATAATAATAATAATAATAATAATAATAATAATAATAATAATAATAATCTCAGTCATAGACCGACAACTCACCTCTGATTTTTTGTGTTTTATAGGCTTACATGAAGGTTAATGTTTTCATTTCATTTTATCTCTACACAGACGTGCGACATCATCACACCTGGATTTATAGACAGCGTTTGTGATCTTTACGACGAACTTAAACAGATTAATTTCAGGGTTTTGGAAGTTTTTGGTCATGCCTTGAAATTGAAAGTAAGTATTTTATGGAATGTATTATAAATACTGTACCATCGCCTGATGATGCAATTGGCGCATCTGAAAATGTCTATTTAATTAAATATTTTAGTAGCATTTGTATTAAATATATATAACATTTATACATCGCTATGTGTATTATAATATATTAAATCAGCTAATTTTCCCCGTAACACTCTGATACACAAATTATAGGTAGGCCTAAATGATATTCTTTGCATATTATACAAAGCTAAGTCTATATATTATATAGAGTGTCGCCTACTACTCATACACTGGTGACACAATGTTTATTATTTAATAAGGACTTCAACAAAAGACAAAGAAACACAGTGCCAGATGAAATAGTCCTATTATGCCAAATTCCAGTGGCGGATCTAGGAATTTGAAATAGAGGGGGGCGGGGAAGAGGGACTTTAACAGATGGAGGGTCTATACTACCTCAGTCCCACCATTGTTGGGGCTGAGGTAAGAAAATTTATGATTATGGCACCCATCTAGATGGTCGGAAATGGCACAAGACTGAAAATTTTAGTAAATTTTCTTTTTTTCTCAATTTTTTTTTTTAATTTCGAAAAATTTATGGGGGCCCGGGCCGGATGCCCCCCTCCTTTGAATCCACCATTGCCTTCATAGGTGGCACCCTGAGCATTTCCTGAGAGGTGGGGTTATTATTATTTAAGCGTTTGTTTTAATGTATCTATTAATTTGATTTCATAGGATGTTGAGCTCGATGGGCATGAAGTAGCCTCTTTTCAACCTCCTTTTATGTTAAATCGTATTTGTTTCCATTGTAGGCCTAAATGTTTAAATTTTGTTTTTTGGATGATAAAGAAAGAGGAGAGAGCGTCCAGTGGCCACCCAGAACCACTCGAACGAGGTATGGGCCTAGGGGGCAAGCTGATTAACGATTAAAGACAATTATAAGACCACAAAGTAATTTGTAAAGTCAATTACAGGTTGATTTAAATAATAGACAACTCTGCTTAAAGGGTATGAACCTAAAGAAATCGCAGCAGATAAAGTGCGTCGGTTGAATATATTTCAATTTCATGTTTTGTTTTTTTTTGTTTTTTTGGGGTTAGTTACAGCATATGCCAGTAACAAGACTGCATCTGAAATTGCATGATTCAGTATACACTTATCGTATTTTTTATTTATAATTTTATAGGATCCTATGTTCTTCGTGAAAGCTCATAGTCGCATGGGAGAAAATGACAACCACAGCACCTTTCGTACACTGTACTATCCACCTTCTACTGACGTCGTACAGAAGGAAGGACAGATTCGGTGTGGAGAGCATTCGGATTACGGTGGTGTGACATTATTACTACAAGATGAGACGGGAGGTCTTGAGGTCCGGTTGTATTTGCATTCTTTTGCTATAAAAACAATTTTAAATCATAACAACTAGATTGAAACTAAAAATGTAAAACCAATGTGACACTATAAATATTGGGGTTTTTTATTTTGTCAAGTTCAACTACTACAAACCAATTAACTTAGAATGTATTTTTAACCGGCAGGTAAAAGGTCTGGATGGTAAATTCCATGCAGCCACACCTATGCCAGGCTCTATTGTGATTAACATTGGGGATATGCTGCAGCGGTGGACAGCTGATCAACTGGTTTCCACAGTAAGTACAACACGTTGGTATTTGACGGGGACAATTATCTCACTCGAGATCTAGCTTGCTGAAGATAATTTTCAATCTGTAAGATCCCCGAGTGTCTAGTCATATTTGACATTACAGTATTTGCATTATTTGCTGGCAAACTGGCGCCAGACACGCTGAAAAAAATGAAAGGGTTCAGTGTCTACTTAAATGTTTTGATTCACCACCATACGTTTTATAAAGTTTTAAAAAAAACAGCAGATCTGTTGAATGATTATTATTATTATTTTGCATTCCCTTATTTATATTTCATCACTATTTGTATGCTTAATAGGTGCATCGTGTGGTTGTTCCGAAAGGAACGCGCACTAACAACAGCCGTCAGTCGATGGCCTTCTTCGGACATCCCAACAGTAACCAAGATATTGTCTGTATCGACGGCAGTAACAAGTATCCACCTACGAACTCAGACACGTACATGGAATCCAAGTACAGCAAGTCCTTTGATAAGTAAAATCAATATAAAAACGGAATGCCCTGACTTGTAACATTGATGCTGGGTGACGTTTAGCTACGGTGGTCTGTAAAGTGTCACAGCAAAACAATACAAAATAAAATCACAATTAAGTGACGTGTTTATAAATTTGCCGAGACAGGTATTTACCACCGTACAAGGGTTTTCTTGTTATTATAAAGAGGTACAGATCTTTGATATATTTTAATTAGCTCTCAATGGACTTTTCCGGATTCTGAACAGGATCAGGATTAAGCGCTCGTATTTACGTACGTTTACACAATGGTTTTGTAGGACTCAACAAAATCCCAGGGACGGGCTTAACGGAAAGGCCACTGAAAATCGGAATGAGAAAATATATTCCTTACTAATTAACAGACATATAGAATACCGTCCTTAGATTTTTGCATTAACCCTTAAATTAGCTTTAAGTCAATTTAAATATTTTCGTAGTAATTGGCTGTACAATAATACAAATTAGAATTGAACAATTTAATTTAACAGATTTAGAGATTTTTAACCAGATTTGACCACCTCGAAGAAGCGACCAAAAATGTGATACTAGTTTAAAGCATTGTAGTCTATCAATGATTATGCTTATACGGTAGTTTTTTTAGAAAATATTTCCAAAATCGGATTCGAACCCTAGGACTTCCGATCACAATTCGGTTGTTCGAACGACTGAGCTACAAGCAATGTGAAATTTTTAAAGTTTTTGCATAATAAGAAGTTATAGACAATTGCAATATCTGAAATTATACTAGAATGATACACAAAGAAAGTAAATATTTAAAAAATGCATATACTGTATTGGCCTACTTATCTGGAAGCGAAAAAAAAAACTCAAGTTTGTCTATCAATGAACCAGGAAGCCAATTCGGTAGGCCTATACCTTATGGATTTTAACATTAAAACACATTTTCTTCTGAAGGAGTTTGACATAATAAACAAGTTATAGTCTAGTCTAGTTACATCCAATAGTAAATATCCTCAGTTTATATTATTGGTATACATATATCCTCATTCATTCTATGTGATGTTTGGTTTCAAGATAGAATTATATGTAAAGCATCATTAACAGAAAGAATTGTAGAGTCGTATTTATTTACAAAATTATAATATATTTTTTCACTTACTAGTTTTGTGCTGGTAACCAGTTAATTTGCGGTGGAATAAACACTTTGAAATTAAGCGAAACTGTCAACATTTGTTTTTTGCGTTTATGAATATCGTGCTCAAACCATGGGCCTACACTTTTAACTATACTGTATTTTGTATTCTTGTTTCTCACAAAATTTCCATGCCGAAACTGAATATTTCTTCGTTAGTAACGCCACATCTGGTGAAAAATCCGGAGTGCCGATTCAGACAAGTAAACACTAGGATAAATTCAATACTTGCATTAAATTTATGTGCTATCATTATATACACTTAGGATATTATGTATTTATTCGAATAAACGCCCCGGTTTTCCACTAGAACATATTTTTTTCCAAGGAGTCATGCATTGAATAATATATCACATAAATGAAATCTCACAGGAGATAGCCCGCCATTTTATGGATGTAGAAAAATATAAGTCTAAATAGTAACGATGGTATGAAAAACACTCTTGTTACTTGTTGATATTTCTATAGCGCTTTTCATTGCTGTTACAAAGCGCTAACTACCCTTCACATTATTTCCACCAATCACAACCCACTCAAACCAACAGAATATGCTTTCACTCCTCCGAAACGTATTTTCACCATCAGGATTCCAACCCATGACCTTCCGATCCCATTTGGGTTCTGTACCAACTGAATTATGAGGCTAAGTGGTATACAACGTTATTTCTCAACGCAATGCATAATAAACAATCGACAATGATAAATCACATTATAAATGAAACAATTTTTATTATGAATATAATACATACAGTATTACAATATTATGAGATAATCATCATGATTAAAATATGTGGTGAATGATAAAATAGATATAAAACCGTACTCAAGACAAAATGTTTCTGTTGCATTTTATTGATATATAAAGCGAAAAAGTAAAGTTGACCAAAAAAGAAGGGTTTATGCGGGAAATTATGCAGCGACAGTTGTTGTTGTTGTTGAGGAAGATGAGGCAATTTTTCCATTCCAAATTCATTCACAACACAGTCACATTGAGGACTATGTCTTGCCTAGACATGAACATCAAATCCTTATGACGACAATTGCATTTTTTGTGGGTTTTTATTTTCCCCATTAAAGAAACAGCGGAGGCCTCAAATAATGACGGGGCTGGTACCTTCAGCAGGGGGGTTAGTACCCCCGACAGGGGTTTTTTTAACTTGCATGGTTTCTATCAAATTATCCTTTTTAAATAAAGAATCCCATTATCAACACAAAATGTTATTATTGTTTAATAAAAAAATTATCCGACAAATTTAATTTATTTCCCGACTGGGGGAGGCGATCCAACGTTCAGGTGTGGACAACTCTTGCCGGGGAGCTTGGACCATCGTCGGGAATTCCCCTGCATACAACTGCATAGTTGTTCAATTTGCTTGTAAAAAAGGCAGAAAAATATTGCAGAGGTGGGATCAGTCACTTTTATTATTTTTGAGGGGTGTTCTTGCAAAGAGACAGTAGGCTTTAGTCGGTTTGTTATCTCCATTAAGGAGGTTATGTATTCGCTGCTGTTTGCCTGTTAGCAAGATTACGCAAAAACTAATGAATGGGTCATCATAAAATTCAGTGGAATAGTCAAAGAAACACAGCTTTCAATTTTCGGAAGAAAAGTTCAACGGACAAGGTCAAGGTCACGGAAAATCGATATTTTACCCTCGAGCATACAAGAAAATAATGAAATTGCCTCACATATTCAGGCAGGACTCAAGAAAACAAGATCCCTGATTACGATGGGCAATTCCATTATTTTTTAGGATATTCGGTAGCACTAAAAATATAATGTGCCTAAATACGACTGGCAATTCCATTATTTCATTGAGGGTATTCTGCAGTTTTGCTCATATACGTATTTGGAAAATATACACATTAGCACAAACATTTTTATTCAAAATTTTTGGAAGATAATTTGATCAATCGACTATTGAATCTCATTTTCAAACCTTATAAAAAACGGAAGACTTCTTTATTTGCCTAAGACAGACATTTTGATCTATTGACTTTAGCCTTTTATTTTTAAACATAATAAAAAATATACATCTTTATTTATTATATTTTATGTTACATTTTGATCAATTGACTATTTGCACTTTTTTTTACCAAATATATATCTAAGCGCAATACAAACCAGTTATTTCTTAATCGCACTTGGCAAAACGGCACTTGCTTCTCTGTGAACTTAAGCGCCCACCGCAGATTATTAATAACAAAAATATCTGAATATTTATATAGTGCTTTTTGCCGGCAGTCCCACAGCGCTTAAAAACCAGGTAACTATGGAATAAGATGAGTCTTAAAGAAGTGGAATTGAGAAAGAGTTGGGGTATAACGTGTGACGGTGGAAATATTATTACATGTGCCCCAGTCACAACACAAGCATCTCAAAATGTTGCTGATCTAGTGGGCTCTTCATCTACACTAACCAGGGTCTCCATAATAGTCGGTGACTGCACAGTGACTGGTTGAGAAGAGGCTATGTTGGTAGGTGGTTGCTGAAGGGCACTAGTCCACGTTGGACCACGATCTTCAAAATTACGACGAATATCAAACAAATTTATAACAGACATGCGCTAATGCAAGCTGTTAAGGCCAAATTTGAATAAAATTTTAATCACATAAAATCTTATAAAATTGTCATTATCATTCATTCATTTAATATTCACCAATTAGACAAAAAACATAAACTATAAATTTGTAGGGGTAGTGAAAAAAAAACATGTAAATTATTAATAATACTATTTGTTATTACTACTACTATTTTTGTTGTTATTGTTATTTATTACTACTATTAACTTTATTACTATTATAACTTTAACTACAGTATTAAAATTATTTTCATTATTGAATTTTAAGCATACTGTAAATTATGATACAATTCAGTGTTGTACAATAAACCAGAATGAAATGAAAGCACTGTCATGATATATTTCTAATATTATATCTTCATTGAGTAATAATATATAAGTGATTTGTCTGCAAATGCAATTACAATGACTTTAATAATTATAATAAAGGATACATTATTGGACGGAAGTGGTGGTAACTGGAACATTGACGGTGGCTGGGTCAGTCGCAGACGTCCCGTCGAACCTGCCAAAAAATTATTCAAATACAAATTTTATTTTAGTGTTGCGAAGACAATCTTTCAAAAAGCAACATTTACAATGGTCATCATAGTATTATTCATCCAAAATTTGACAATTTTTAAGTGATTTTTAAAGAGCATTTTTACTGTTATATTAAAAAAAATCCTGACTTGATTTTGCCCGGACTGAACCCAGGACTTTCAGTTATATGGTGAGCACTATACCACCGTACTATGAACAGATGAAAAATATTACCTGATGGATGGAAGTAAGAATGTGCTCTAGGATTATACAACTGCGCTGTTTTTGTTGGCATAAAAACTGCTGGTAAACAAACATCTGAAAGTGAACAAAAAAACAAAAATGCAAATTAATATTCAATACATAATAATCCATCATTTAATTAATCTAGTTGCCATTTCCTTAGTTCAACAAAATTAAAAATTGCACCAAAAAATTAAATGTGAAAAACCTCACTAAAACTTAGAATACCTAAAATATAATCCTTAATATTAAAAATCAATGTTTTCTTTATGATAGTACATTTAATAAAACTTAAAAATGTTTTTAAAAATGTTTAAAAAAAACTATTAGCTTTAAAGATGTATTCTCCATTGCTAATGTCAAAAAATCATAAAAAATAAGTTTGAAATAAATTTGCTCATGTTGCAATAACATCCAGATTATTAACTTGTGCATAGAAATTATTGAATTTAGAAAATGTGTACCCTGATTTTTAAAACAACAAATTATAATAAAAATGATAAAACACTTCCAGTGACTGGAAGTATTTCTATCATTTTTCGTTGTAAACTGATAAGTAGACATTTTTTAAAAACACTAATTTCTATGTTCAAGTTGATAACTTTTATGTTACTTCAAAATGGGCAAGTTAATTTCAAAAAAATATTTTTATGATTTTTTTTATATTTAGCATGGGACAATACATTTTAAAGACACAAACAACTGGCCAGCCTCTAATTCTAACATAATTACACAAATCAATTGTAATGCAAAGGGGTGTTCCATTTTGGGAACAATGGCAATTAGTCAGTTTATCTAGGTAAGTATTCATGAAACAGACTCTATCATTTGGAGGTCCAACGCCTCACTGGTGTACCACTTACACCCAAATGTTGCAAAGCAATTGATATTAAAACGATGGTTTACCTTTCTCAAGGTCAGATGCTTGTGTGGCAGGCGTACTAAGCTTATACTGTCCCGCCAATTGCTGTTCTATCACACAACGAACTTCTTCCTTCACACGGTCCGCTAATTCTTGTTGATGTCGAATGCTCTCCTCATTGAAAAGTTTAAGTCGCTCGAAGAACTAGAAAAAAAAAAGGTTGAATAATATAAATGGCTCGCTTATCAATCCAAGTCTTGTGTTTTAATACACCTTATCCCAGAATATAGCAATTTTGATTTTCATGACCATTGTAGTAATGAGAGAGCAGTTTAGCTCAACCGGCTAAACTGGTGATAGACACTGTGTGCACTGAACCGTGAAGATCTTATGGTCCCCGGTTCAATTCTCCTCGGTGTTATCCTTGCTGGTTACACCAAATAAATCCAAATCCAGTACTGAAGTTTTCTACTGAAATCCTCAGTTCTCTCAAAACAATTCTACTCCCTAAGCCCCATATAAAGAAACTTGGTTACTGAGTTCAGTGGACTCCACTCCCCATTCCCAATGATCAACTTTCCTTGGTGAACTAACAACCCCTGTCAAATTTCAACTACATTGATATTGTGGTGTAACAACACTTGGCTGCCGAAACCTACAGCCACAATATTGGCGTTGAGTTAAGCGGCACGCTCGCCCGTTGTACTGGTGGTGGAACAAGTCTTCTTGGATAGCCCAGCGCAATTGGCTCGTGTGCACTTTAAAGAACCCAGCACATCATTCAAGACAAGTAGGGGGATACCCCGGTGTGCTGATCTATACAGCCCCTGTGATGGACAGTAGAAAATAGCTGGTACCGGTTTTCTGGGTACATAAGACACAAAGAAACCATTAGATGTAGGAAATTATGGAACGAGATATGTCAACGTATCGAGCACCACAAGCGTCGGGTTTGATGGATACCGGTGCTATACATATATACACTATTATTATTATTATCATTATTATTATTATACATTAATATTATATATATTCTTAAAAAGGTGAAGAGGTTGACATATATAACTTACATCCTTTGGTAAATCACTACCCCACTTGGGAAGATTTTTTGGTTGCCTTTTTTGTTTTGATTGTGAAAGTTTTTGGTTCTTGGACCCCAACATCTTCCTGTCTTCTGTAGTCCAACCATGCAAAGGTGAGCCGAACCGTCCTATGCCATATGAAAATTAAATTGAATAGTTAAAAATATAGACCAAATGTCGCTATGGCCTAGTGGTGAAGATATCCGCCCTTAAACACCAAGATTTTGGATTCAATCCTGGCAAATAAAATCAGAATTTTCTTCACCAAAAAACAACACAATGCTGTATGAATATAATATCCATTGATTAAGATATAACAAATTTTTTTGCAATATTATCTAAGATTCTAAATAATTGAATAAGGTGCTATTGTTCATACCATCTCCAGCTTGTAGTTGAGGATTCATGAGAGCGTTCAGCTGATCATTTTGTAACTTCGCAATACTTTCAGCAAGGCTTTTTATTCGTGTTCTAGAGCATAAAAGAATACAAAAATAAACAGCAATGGTTGCAAAAATACTTAACAATAACAGTGGTAAGAATAATAAAGAAAAACGTCTAAATCTATGTATTACTGTATATATGATACACTGATGTGGATGAATCCATTGTTTTAGAGGGAACTTTGTAATACATAATACACTAAGCTAGCAATGATGTTGGTAGAGTAAGAGTGAGATAATTACATGGACAAGCCAACTAATTGCCATTGGCTAGTTAATCCAGGTAAGAATTTACAAAATAGAATTTGGTATATGATGATGGTTCTTCCAAGTAGAAGCAAATTTTTAGTAATTTGCATGCAAACATAAACCTATGTTGTTTGTATGTTTGTTTTGCGCAGTTTAAACTACGAATTGACTTACTGACAAAATAAAGTAAAAGATCAATATTTCAGGATGTTCATATTTTCATTATGCATAGATAGATGTATAATGACTGAACATTAAAATGAAGTGAGTATTATGTAGGTATACCACTTTTATCAAATTTATTAATTAATTTTACTTACTCAAAGTCTTCCTGCATGACCTCAATTTCTTGGTTGTGTTGTTCAATAAGCATATCAAACTCTGCTCTTGTCACCATTTCCTAACAGGTCAATTGGAGATTAATCAATAACCAATCAATCAATCAGTTAATCAATAAAGAACCAGTTACTGAATCATAAAAAATCATTCAATCAATAATGAACCGATCAATCAATCAATGATATATTACAAATAAAACAATTATAATCAATAACTTACCAATCAATAACCAATCAATCAATAACCAATAATCAATTGATTTATCATTGATTTATGATTAGATGCAAATGAAATAAACTGATTGACTGGCTGACTGTTGTCTGACTGATTGAATGATACAGTCTACAAATAGCAAGGCTAATTTGCTCAATACAAAAAACAGTTAACCTACTGGTTTATCAGACTCTGAAGATCTCAATGAAAGAGCTGAAAGACATCTGTCGCGGTATTCCTTGTTCCACGGTAAGTCCTCCTTCCTTGTCACCCGCAGATCAATGTCAGTCAGATCCATTACTATCTCATTAATTGACTTTGATCCTGTCAAAATTAACAGGTACAAGCTTCAATACAGATAGGAGAGGAAGGGGCAAAGGCACAATTGTAACCCTTTTTTTACAGCTTCACCAGATAAAATAAAACACAAAACAAAAGGCTAAACCCTTCTTAGTTGTCAGAGGTTGTACACAAGCCTTACCTGTCTGTTTGTCAAGGGTGAAGGGTTTATGGACACGGGTGTAGAAAAATGCCAAGCGCACCGTGCCGCATGGTAGATGGTCTTTGTTCTTGGCACTGGTTTTGATGGGGTAAACAGGAAAGTTTGCAGGGACCTGGTCGGTAGTGTCAGCTACAGACTCTTTCAATTCAACTTCCTAAAATGTAAAAATATAGAAGGTTAAAATATATAAGTTGAAATTTTGTTGAAAATTGGTCATGATGACATTAATGATGATGATGGTGATGATGATGATGTGGTGATGATAATAATGATGATATATTAAATAATGATGATGATGTTAATGATGATGATGATGATGATGATGATGATGATGATGATGATGATGATAATGATGATGATGATGCTACAAATGAGCCAGATTATGTTACTAATTTTAAAATAAAAAAATTGTTAAAATAATAATAATAATCATAATCTTTCTAAATGAATGAATCACATCAATATAGAAATTCTTTTTAGGAAAACCACAAATGCTTACAAGTGTTTGTAAATCAGCTGCATCTATGGTTGCCATAGCATTCATTTCTTCAAAACTTCCTGTGAGAACTGCCAATCGTAACTGATCTTCTACCCTGGACCTCTTTCTTTCTCTCGGTGCATCACCAGTCTCTGTTGTGTCCTCATTCACATTTGTACTTTCAGCTTCTTCATCATTTTTCTCAGAGACAGAATCAAGAGATGGTTTCTCTAGCCTTGGTTCTTCGTCCAGTTTAAACACAAGATGATGAAAACTGTAAAATATTTAAATGAAATGGTGACAGAAGTGGTACCCAGGGAGCATGGGTGAATCTCTTTTAACTGATTTCATAATGGTACAAGGAAATACCTATTCCCAAACCATATTGAATAATGGTTAAAGATGCTTTTCAAGTCTGAGAGTGTCATTTCCAGCCATCTAGCGGTCTATAATTTAAATAAAAATCTCCTCCTGGCTCAGTCAGACAGCCCTCGGATAACAATGCACCCCAAAATTATCCTTATCTCACTCAGCCCCCCCTTCCACCGCTACATTATCAGCTCTCCACTGCCAAGCCTCATAAAGAGACTTGGCTACGAAGCTTTAAGTCAAATCTTTTATGGTCAGTTCTCAGCGCCAGGCTTTTGCGCATTGTTTTTGAATACACCCTCGATCTCGATGGCTTATGGAACAATAATAATCTTGAAATATAAAAAATTATATATCTATAACATTGTTTTTCAAGCCCTTTGTTGAAAGAAACATTTAATCTTTGTTCCAATTCTTAATTACCTTTCATCTTTCCAGGCCTCATCCTCAGCTACGTCCTTCTTCTTTCTTCCCATTGAACTCCTAGCTTTTGATCCAATCATGCTCTTGGTTCGTCCTAGTTTATCTGGCTCAACAATCTTAACACGCTTTTCTATCATGAACAAAAAATTATTGTCAATATACCATTCTAGAGTGTTAATAAACTTAACAACCCACCAATCAAAACATGTTATACAAAAGGCAAGGCCAAAAATACGCACATGTCCCAAAAAGCACACCCGTACTTGCTTCTCTAAAAATAACTGTCATTTTGCCAGAGAGTAGCAACAGTTGCTCCATGATTATAATCCAATTGACTGACAGACACTTACCCAAGCTTAGCCTTCTGTTTGAAAGTGTCAATCAAGAATTTCCACCTCCTTCCATGTCCCTTGCAGCTTGTCAGCTTTGAGAACAACTTCTCCCAGTTCATAATCCGTTTCTCACGGGCAATCCTCTGAGACTGCATGTCTAACAGTTGCAGACGTCGAATTGCGATATTTAGTTGTTTGTGCTTGCTCTCATAATCTGTGTGAAGTTTTTTCAGTGCTGCGCTCTTCTCTTCCCACGGGACTGAGTAAACACGGACTAGCCGAACAAGCTCCGTAACTGGTGTGTACATGTCAGTGGTACTAATAAAAAAGAAAAATAATAAAATACGTAGTGCTGAGCATTTGGCTGTTTGGTAAGGTTCCTACCTCTTGAAATTGTGGACTTGAGTTCTAGACCCGGCTAGAAAGTTTTTATGTCCATAAAAAGTTCAAATATTAAAAAGAAAAACAAAGAATATAAATGTTACAATAATCAATTATAATATGTAGAATGAACAATAATAATAATGATGATGATGATGATGATGATGATGATGATAATAATAATAATAATAATTGTGAACTTATATAGCACATAATGTAAGCTCTATGCACTTTACAGCAGGGAGTGGGGTGAATCATTTAAAGTTTCCCCTACTTCAAAAAAATAAATGAATATCGACTACATAATAATAAATTGATTTATTTTAAGTTCAAATTTTAACTAGTTTTTTTATCTACTTAAATTGTTAAATATTTCTGTAAGAATAAACATAAATGAAATTACCTTCGATATAATTTACCACTAACAATTGCAAGTTGAGCCATCAGGGTGGGAGGGATGGTATGAAGCAGCATTTCATCTTTTAATGCAAGAAACTAAAAACAAATAATATATTTTATTTCATGCCATTAGAGGGGATAGTTGGATCTATATTATTTTGAGAGATCAAGGTTTGCCGAAGAAGCAGTCAAAACGTAACAAGTAACGGTTAACATAGCTATTAGTTTAACAAAAAAAGGCTTAAAAGAGTGGAATTATTTTTGGTGATGAGAATAAAATCTTGACAATTTGCAGGACTTGGACCAAGGACTTTGGATCTAAAGCACTGGTGGCTCAGTTTGAGTGGTGGGACCTAAGTTGCATCAAAAGGGGTCTGACAATTTTAGACGGAGGCCAATTGGTACCATCGTAGAAGACTTAGTGGGGATTCAGAGGCTACATCCCATTCCTACAGAAAGCAATTTTGTGTCATTTTTAGCTGTTTGCATTTTGTTTTTCTTTTGGTCAACGGGAGTGCCAGCACTGATTGTAACTTGGAAGGCAAGCATCTTATCCACAAGTTGTTTCAGTACATGAGGATTACTAAGGCATGCACCTTAAAATATTCCACATCTGTACTCATTTAAAGTTAGTTAAAAAAAAATGAATTCATTTCTTACATCAGCTAATGCAGACTGAACAAGTGTTATAGAATTAAGGACACCATCACACAGCATGTCAAACTTGTTTGCATCAACTTTTGTTGGGGACATTGCTGGCTTTCGTTCTTTGGGTTCACTCTGCAAAAGTTAAAAATTCAGACTTCACAAAATGTTTCCTGCTTTACACAAATAATATATGTACAACTAATTACCCAAAGGTAATGGTAACTTGGTTAAATATATTCTTTGTCATTCCATATATAAAGTTATAAATGGAATAATGAAGAATAATAAGTGTCCATCTATTTAAAAGACCAACAGTTAAAGCATTTTTCAAATATACATTCCATACACGAAGGAGGTTCAGTAATACTGTATATAATACTTTCTTGCATAAAGTCATGTGCACACCCAGACATACATTTCTTCACTGTATTTCAAGTTATTATTAACATATCAATATTTGTCTTTATTTATTGTTTCTATTTCTTACACATAAAGGCTTATTGTACCTCGGCTGATTTTCAACATTTCTTATTTTGAATGCACTGTTAGTGGTAGTGTTTGCCAGTAACTAAAAGTTAATCTTCAGCAGATGGCTGTACTTAATGGCAAGTTTTTTTGTGTTCCCATAAATTCCAAAAGGAAACTTGGATTTTACATGACAGGAGTTAGATTGAAATCTTATATATTTTATTATAATATTAATATTATTTTTATTATACTACTGTATTAGTATTGCTATTATTATTATTATTATGGTTAATTAATATTATATTATAATTAATGACATCATAATATAGTATTATTATTAATCAACATAATTATTTAATCTTATTTTGTTTAATAACATATTTCAAATCATTTCGAATTAACCATATACAGATACTCAGATGTGAGAAGTTAATTAATAATATTGTATGAACATGAAATTGACTTTACCTCCCTTGATAAAGGTGTAGATGGAACATTTTCATTTTCTTCTCCAACTGGATCTAACAATTTGACCTTTTTTGCTGAACCTGGTTGTAATATGAATGAAATAAAGTCATGATATACTGTAGAATTGAAGGCCAATGGCAATAGGATAGGCAGCTGAGTTGCACAGGAAAATTTTTTAAATCTTCAGGCCTGGCCTCAGGGCTACGTATCTAGGCTAGGCTTAATGCTAGTATCTAGGCTAGGCTTATGGCAAGCCTGTATGTACTAATATTTAGCCCATGGCCGATGAATGGCCTCCGTCCTCTTTAAAATTAATAGAGTTTTTGTTTTTGTTTTTAACCTGCCATCAATTACCAGACTGTAAAGTAAGCTAAGGCCTGAGCAGGGAACATATCCTCGGGTCAAAATTTGGCCTAAAAATCTGTCCACACATTTGAAAAAATAAGGGCTTTGGCCTTTCTTAATACTATAGCATATATAAATTCTTGGAAGCAGGTCAAAACGGCAATAAACCAAAATGGCAATGACCAAAACGGCAATGACAAGTACCAAAACGGCAACAGACCAAAACGGCAATGACAAGTACCAAAACGGCAATAGACATAGACCAAAACAGCAAAGGAGCGAAATCAATGCCAAGACTTAGCAAGCACCACTGGGCGCGGGCCGCAGTTTATAATATTCTGAATCATTTGTGGTAAAGACAAGCCAAACCAGTCACTCGTCGCAAAAATCGATTTTGAGTTATTAATACAGTGTTAGAGAGTAAAATGATAGCTATAAAATGGTAAAAAAAATCATTCAAATCGGACATTTCCTTATGAAGTTACAAGCGTTTAAACATACAGCAGTTTAAAGAACAATATATGAGAAATCAGCCTTCAAAGTTTATAATTTCAGGCATTTCTCATGCAGAAACTATCATCAAATCTTTAAAAAGTGTTACTTTAACATTGAAAATGGGGAAAATAACAGCATAGATCGATGTATAAATATGTAAAGATTAGTTTAGTGCAATATAGTAGATTTTTTAAAATTTGACATTAAAGCATGTTTTGGTCATTTTCTCTGAAACACGATTTGCGACGAGTGACTGGTTTGGCTTGTCTTTGCCACATTTTGAAATTGTCCCAATAGGCAAATTGAATATTGCCATGGGCTCTTTTTCCTGCTTTTAATGCTTTTAATCGCATTTTTTTTCTTACACATCTATGACAAATTATTTGTGCTTCATTTTGTCTATATTTTAAAGTATTATTTATTATTATTTTTATTATTATTTCGCATTTTTTACTTTTATGACAAATTGTTTAGCTTCATTTGGTCTGTATTTTAAGTTTTATTTATTCAAATGTTTTACTGCTTTTAGTATATTGTTTCCCCCCAATCTTTTTAATATTGAATTTGTATGTTATATTGTTATTATTTTTATTTATTATTATTATCATATTTAGTCTATAATTATTGTCATTGTCGTCCTTTCGCGTTTTTAAATTCTATGACAATTTAGCCTCATTTTTACCGTATTTACAGTATTCGTTGTACACTTTCATGTTTATAATTGCTTTTATGTAGGGCCATTGGAAACATGTTTTGATTCTTAAAGAAAACTTTTATAGACCATCACGTCACATCCTTGCATCATATTTTTATTGTAAAATTTGTTTGCACTGCCTTATGCGAATTTTATCTGTTTTATACAATATTTATTCTGGAAGTACTGCTGTTTTGGTTTAGGGCTATTGCCATTTTGACTTAGGCCTTGTCGATTTTGTCTTGCCGTTGTGACTTATTGCCGTTTTGGACCATTCCCGTTCTGGTCAAAAAGTGTTGACGTTTTGGTTTTTTGCCATTTATTATTGTCATATAACCATATAAACGATTTAGGAGTAATTGATCACCTATTTTCCTAGCGATTTTTCGCACAAATTTGAGCTGGTTTTTGAGTTATCATCTGCGCAATTAAAAAACTTTTTAAACAGTATGGTCATTGGGTGCAGGTCAACTCGGCCACAAGTCAACTCGGCCACAGTCAACTCGGCCACAAGTCAACTTGGCCACAAGTGAACTCGGCCACAAGTCAACTCGGCCACAAATCAACTCGGCCACAAGTCAACTCGACCACAAGTCAACTCAGCCACAAGTTCTTTAATGTAAATCTCAGTTTTTGCATCCTTTTTCTTCAATTACCGTATGATTGAAATAAAGTACGAGTATATTTTAGTAAAACAGGACCACCACACTTCCAAAAGAGATTTGAATGCTATTGCCTAAGAATTAAAAAGAGTTATTTATTAATGTGTTCGTCTTCTGTTTACTCACAACATTCTAATTCACCAATAATATTAAACAACAATAACAACAATTACTATTAATATTTACTTTAATAATACTAATTAGTAATACTAATTATAAAATTAAAAAAATAATAATAATAGTAATACTAATTAGTAATAATAATAATAATGATACTTATAATAGGCCTACTTAGTAATAATAGAGTAATAATATCGATAATAGAGGTGACAACAACGACAATAATATTAATAAAATAATAATATGAGAAAAATACCAATAAAACACCAATAACAATAACTTTTTAAATTACTATTATTAAAATAATAATACTAAGACTAATGAATAATAATAAGAATAAGAATAATAATAAATTGAAAATTATTTATTATTTATATGGTACTATAATAATAATAATAATATCAGCACAAATTTGAACAATATATAATGTTAATGCCAAGACTAATAATTAATATTAAAAATAAATGGTAATAAAAACAACAATAATAATAACAACAATGACATCAATAATAACAGCAATAATAATAGTATAGTAATACTTAAAAGAATTAGTATTTTATACTTGATGAATTACTCCTTCAAATTGTAGTACCAGTAAATGACTTGTGGCCGAGTTGACTTGTGGCCGAGTTGATTTGTGGCTGAGTTGACTTGTGGCCTAGTCTAGTTGACTTGTGGCCGAGTTGACCATAGCCAAATTTTTTGTGGCCGAGTTGACTTGTGGCCGAGTTGACTGTGGCCGAGTTGACTTGTGGCCGAGTTGGATCGATTTGGTCATTCGCGCAATTAAAAACTTTATCGACAGATGGCCTCAACTAGCCTACCTACCTAGCCTATATGCCCTATCTACACTATGCTACACTCTCCTGCACTCGTTCTCACTATCTTCTCTGTCTTCTGTTTGACAGCCAGTTCAAGCTTATAAATTAGGCCTAGATACTGGTCTAGACCTGGCTTAGGCCTTCCTTGGCTTCCTCCGAATCCAACCAAGGCAGCCTTCTCAGGCACACACAGTTTTAGGCCTAGGCCCTAGGCCTACCTATACAATTTTAGGCTAGCGTAGCCTAGCCTCAGGCTAGGCCTAGCCAAGCTTATGCTTAATTTACTTCAGAATTAAATGATTATACCGGATTCTGGCACCCCCATTGAGGGAGCAGATGGTGAGTCACTCATTGCAGATCATTCAATATACTTCTATTTAGTTATTTGCGAACAATGTTAGTTTTTAAAAGCTTTTCTCGGTGGTTGTTAGAGTTGCTTAGCTACTTTATAATACGTCAAGAGAGGGCGCGATGCATAATAATCCATTCGCTCGACATTAAAGGGCGTCCGCTAGAAGGAGGATCTGACGCATTACTATATTTCTATTTATAGTAACAAACAACTTTTGTGAAGTAATTCTTGTGACTGTGGATCACTGCTCTATTTAACTGGTTTATAACAACATAGTCTACATAATTACAGTATTATATTCATGCTGATTAAGTATTTTAAATATAGATAGGCCTACAGCTAAAGTATTATAACCAGGTAAGGAGTAAAATGGCAGGGAATCCGATGATAGGCGTTAGGCCTAGCTAACTAGGAATAGGCCAGCCTAGTATTTAGGCCCTAGTAAGTAGAGTCTAGAGAGGCTAGCCTTGCTCGTCAGGGAAGGCCACCGGGTAGGCCTAAGACTGCGTCTAGTGAGGACCTTTCTCTACGGGAGAACGGTAAACCTAGTCTGTAGGCTAGGTAGACTGCTACTCGACAAAGGCCTAGGCCGAGTTAGGTAATAAAAAAATGAATAAATTAAAATAATAATATTAATTATTAATATTATTATAGGCCTATATGAAAGGTGAGTCGAATGGCCAAGTGGCAGGAGGTGCTATAATATCAGCGCTGGTTTGAATAGCACATACGTCTAGGCCTGTGTATGGTTCTGGAGGTGGAATAAGTCATATCGGATAAGGACTATAAACCATAGGCCCAGTGTACACAATTGGCTCATATGCACTGTAAAGAACCCAGTAGCCATCTGACACAACCTGCCATTGTGGTCGGCACGCCTCCTTGCCATCTGCATGCATCTGCTCGAATTGACTGGTTCCCAAATCAGACACATTTGATTAATTTATAAATTCAACTTTATGTCAATATGACTATTAAATTATTTCAGCAAAAACTATGTCATCTTAATTATAAGTATAAAAGGTTGTTTTTTTTTTTATTGATGAATATAAGTCTATGTTTTGGTGGAGCATATGCTTCTATAAAAAATACTCAACACCTTGTTTTTGATTCAGGAATATGCAATTCATAGGGATGCCAATCAACTTGTCCCCTAACTAAAGTTGTCCCCTAACTAAAGTCGCTCCCTCACAAACTTTCCCCCTGAAGGTGCAAAGTTACCCTGTGTAAACTGCTGCAAATATTCCCCCTGCCACTAAGCAAACTCCTCCCTAACAAACCGGTCGCCTAACAAACATGGCCATTAACAAACATACTGCTTTAAACCCCCCCCCCCAAAAAAAAGAAAAACCTCTTCCTCCACCCTCCCTTCTTCCTGTTAGCCAAGCTGCTATGAATATAACTAAAAATACATTTTATGTTTATTTAGTTTTGCTACAGTATATTTGTCAGGAAATCATTGAGTGAAAATTCTCAGACCAAAAAATAAATCTTTTTTCTTTTTTTGTTTTGTTTTTTTGTAAGTTGTTTCTCTAATAGCCTTTACATCAGCTAACATTTTTATGTCTCTATCCAGACATTACACCCAAGCCGTGGTAACAAACACATACTGCATCATGGACTTCCTATTTGGCAAACGGAAGACACCAGAACAGATGCTGAGGCAGAATCAAAGAGCACTGAACAAAGCAATGAGAGATCTAGACAGAGAAAGACAAAAGATGGAACAACAAGAGAAGAAAGTTATAGCAGATATTAAAAAGATGGCCAAGCAAGGACAAATGGTTTGTGCATCCCTAATTGTACAGTGTAATGTTATTATTTTCATTTAAATTTTCATTCAAATTTTGCATTGAAAAAAAAAAGAAAAGAAATCCACACTTTCAACACTAGAGCTTCTAATAAACTTCTCCCTCAACCGAAACTCACATAAATGAAAAATACATGACATCTGCTAGAGGGGTATCATTGATGGTAATGAACTTTTTATTAAAATTTTACCTGCTCCTTCAAAGGAATCTTATAAAGAAAACAATTTATATTTTCTAATTCCCAATATTCTCATCATTATTCAATTACATTTCAATTTAGGTTTTATAATTTACTATATTACAGGGTTTTATAATTTACTATTTTACAGTTAACAGAGTATTTATTTTATTTATTGGAATATTTTTACAAAGAAAAAAGAAATACTTGTTTATATATTAAAGGAATAAATTAATTAATAATTGGGCAAGGGAGCATGTGAATGAATGATGATAATAATAATAATAATAATAATAATAATAATAATAATAATAATAATAATTTTATTTGAAATCAGTGGCACATGCTTTGTATTTGTTCACAATAAAACAGTCAAGCCACAGACTTTAAAACAGTTCAACGAAAATCACAAGCACAAGACGAAGGCACAGGTGAATATATGATTCAATGAAAAAATGAATGAGTAAATCAATGTACTTGTAGTGCTAATATAAATGAGCTATGCTTGTAAAATAATCATGTGAAAAAAATGATGTGAAAATTTTAATTTGAATTTTCTGCATATATTTTTTTAAGGGGATTGCAGAGGAGCTGTAGCTAGGTGCACAAATAAACCTTTTAATTTCTGGTAATTATTCCATTGTATTTACAGGATGCAGTCAAAGTAATGGCAAAGGATTTGGTCCGAACTAGGAGATATGTAAAGAAATTTATTATGATGAAGGCTAATATTCAAGCAGTGTCCCTTAAGATACAAACACTTAGGTCAAATAATGCAATGGCACAGGCAATGAAAGGTGTAACCAAAGCAATGGGAGCCATGAATAAGCAGGTAAGTCAATGTTGTTCATACTTATTAATTTAAATAGGCAGTCTCATTTGTTGACATCAGAGGTAATGCTTAATAAGTATTAAATATGCATGTCTCGATGATGCTACAGACCCTTTAATACCTAATCACAAGACAGAATGCTGAAGGATGTTTAGATTTTTGAGGGAAATGTAGTTCAGAGGCCTATTTACACAGAGCATGAAAATTGCAAGTGACAGCAACAGAAACATTGTGTTGAAACATGCAAACCATTTGCAACATGCGTCGTTTGCTGTTTGTTCTGCTGTGTGACATCCTCAGTGAGAAATGACCACCAGACTCAGCTTCTCCAAAAGTCTGTTTACTACCAGAATAGTGACAATTTGATTATTGATAAATAACATTAATCATCATGTTTAGTGCATTGCTAACTTAATGTTATTTATACAGTATATAACTTAATGCTGTGTTAGTCAAACAAGATATCATACTTAATTGTATTCACCAAGGTTTCTAAACAATGCTCGTGGACAAGTGATTAATTTACATAAAAGTTGACATTGATTTTTTTTTTCAGATGAAGTTACCACAGATACAGAAGATTATGATGGATTTTGAAAGACAGTCTGAGATCATGGATATGAAAGAAGAGATGATGAGCGATGCAATTGATGATGCCATGGGAGAAGAGGAGGATGAAGAGGAAGGGTAAGTTTATATTTTTTAAAACCCTGAAGGGTCAAGAAAGGTTGATGAAATAAGCAGTGGATTTCCATACTAATTGACGCTAAATATGTGATAATTGCATTAATTTACATTCAGTTATAAATAATTGTTGAATATATTTACGTTATTTCTTTCCACGGTATTATACAGTATATTGTTCATTAATATTTCTCTTTTATTTAATTTGCTTAATATTTTAAAGCATACACCCATTTTCTGAAACATGCAAAATATAGGCCTACATTGGGCTACATTATCATTAGTTATGTTCAGATGGCCTTCCGCCTGATGTAAAGTTTGAACAGACATAAAATTTCAAGCATGCGTTACTGCAGACAAGTGTCCACACGAGGCTCACCCAGGGCATAATGTTGTTTTTACTTTAGGAGTTTATGTAAATTTTTCAGAAGTGATAATCACTACTTTTGTTGTCTCTCTTATTTTGCATACAGATGCATACAGATGCATATGCAGATGCAGATGCATAAAGATGCTTGAAATTGTAAACAATTATGAAAACATCATGTCTACAAAGGTTTACACATCACAGGAAATGTTATTTTAGCACTCATTTATTTATAGTTATTGATCTTATGAAAAAATTTGAGGTCTAAATAAATGTTGTATTTACTTGCGAGCTCTGAAGTAAGTGCGTCTACACATCGCGTATTCCTTACATTTCTTGTATACACGGAAGAAGCACACTTACTCCTGAATCTGCTCAGGAGTATATCGTCTGTAGTAACATTGAAGTACCTTATAATACAAAGAGCATCTTCACAGGCACTACCCAGGGCTTATGCAAGTAAACTGCTACTTCAAAGCTTACTTCTGACTCGTCTGAACATGCCTAATATTAAATATTATAATTAATAATTTAATTAATAAGATTTGTTAAATTATTTTCAGTGAGGCAATAGTTTCCCAAGTACTTGATGAGCTTGGTTTATCACTTGGAGATGAATTATCTGGTGAGTTTTTATACATTCAGTTATTCCATTTATTTGTGGGAGCGTGTAAGGTGTTGGACTTTTAATCGTGAGATCGGGGTTTCAAGACCGATGCTCGTCGCATTGCTTGTGTCCTTGGGCAAGACACTTTACTTACTGTATGTGGCATTTTGCCACTCTTCACCCAGGAGTATAAATGGGGGTCCATGCTGTTAACCTGCTCGTCGGTGACCCTGCTATGACTTTTCCAGTCAATTAATAACAGTAACTAGAATCGATTATATGCGATTATTCGCTAAAAGGAACGGAGGAACAATTCCATTTATTGGTATTCATTTTTTATAGTACAACTTATTATATTGTTATTGCTATGGTGGTATTCCATTGCTGTTGTGTTTTTATCATCCTTTTATACAGGTCCGGGGCTTTCATGGTTTTTAGCAAATTTGGCCTATAATTAGAATAATAAATATAAAAGATGTTAATTTTAAACCACAGAAAAATGGTCTTAAATTGGAGATGATCTTCAATTGCAGGGGTCTTTAATTAGAGGGAGACTTGTCATTATTTTGTACAATATTTTATAATATAATACAATATTGTATTAATATTATTATTGTACCATTACCAAATTATCATCTTTTTTTTATTCATCTCCTCTAAAGGTTTACCAGGAACAGGCTCAGCGTTGACAACGCCTGGACAGAAGGTACCGGTTGCTGATGCCGAGATGAATGATGCAGATGCTGATCTCCAAGCTAGATTGGATAACTTACGTCGAGAGTAAATAAAAAAACAATTTCTAGGCTCATTTTTATCCTGATTCTCTATTTTCTGAATTGCGAAACTGTAAATGCATAACAAGAGGGGTTGATCACAACTACTGCAAGAGCACTTTGATAGAGTTAATTAATTGGAAGACCACCCCCTGAAACATGTAACATTGCTATTAACTAATACAATGTATTGTTACAGAAGTTATTAGCATTGAGTTTCGATGGATAGAAAATTATCAGCACACATTTACACTTCATCTAATCAATGTTAAATAAATAGTTCATGATGAATGTAATTAAAGATATACTGCCAAAAACAGTCAAGAAATATTTTTATTAGATTTACATGGCAGTATAGCTTTGATATACAGTATAGAATAACTTGACCACTCTACAAAAAAAAAATAATGTTATGCTTTTGCTCATTTCGTGAAGGAAAAAAAGTTGGTAAAAACATACCAATTTAGAGTGTATAAATATATACATTGTACATAAAATAAGAGACAAACATTAGCATTTTGGGGAAAACAATGTGCTAAAATGTAACTGAAGAAAAACTATAATTCAGTGAATTTTTTTAAACATTTAGTTTTTAATTTTCACTTCATGGATATTACTATTCTTTGTTCATAATTTGGTAGATAATATATAATGTAGCCATATTTACTGTGACATTCTTGCAATCTGGGTTATAATAATTCTCTTGGAATTGTTTGCCTTGTTTTTTCACTACGTTCTAGTAATACAGTAATAGTCTTGTATGTACTGTAGTTAATAAGGTACCTACATGAGTTTACTCAGTGTTGGGATCTGTTCTTAAAATGTTTTATGTACTTTGTTTTCAAATATCTTTACCTTATCAATAGTAATGATGATTTAACTTGTTTTTGTAGATATATTTTAAAAATCAGTTTATTTTGATAGTCAAAACACTACTAGAGTTCATGATATTGATCTCCCAAAATTAAATCAGAAATATAAGAGAATGTAAATTACATACTGTCCTCAATGAGCATTTTGGTAAAAGGTGATGTTCTTTGCGCTGAAGACACCAAGTTTAAATCTGGCTGGAGTTGATTTTTAATTGGAGATTGATTGCTCAGCTCCTTGAATAACCCTCATTACTTGTCTCACATATTTGTGTGCAATTCTTTGCTTGGCAAATTTGTGTACAGTTTCTATTGCTAGGATTGAATGCAACAGAGTTGGCACTTAAATATTGTTATATAGAGTGATCCATGATTCTGGTCATTAAACTCAATTTAATTTAATTTGCATGTTTTTCAAACTAGTACTCTGTTTTTAATATTTATTTTTAAATGAAATGAATTCACTGATTACTAACATTATACGGAAGGTGGAAGTTATATTAGGATATGTCTTTATGATATAAAAAGAGAAAATGATATTGAATATTTATATGTTGTGTTTTGAGTTGAGGTTAGAGGAAAATTACTGGTCTCTGTACATGCAATACAATAATGCGCAAAAAAGAAAATGATGGCAACAATGAGGATGCTTTTCATCCATAATAATACAACATATTGAAACTATAGCAGTCCCTCCACATACTCTACCTTGTCCCTGAATGCCAAATAATAAAAATGGGAAAAATTAAATTTTGGTAAAGAAATCTAATCCAACAGAGCACATACTGTATCATATGTGATTTGACACCAATACAACATGGAGAAAGGAAATTTGTTCAAGAGATACTGTAACAGATAAGATAGTATAATACATACTCAAGTATCGAAATGCACACCATCGTGTCGGGATTCAATATTTCAACATTAATTATGTCATCATCAGGAATGTAACAGGCTGTAAATATCAGCAAGACAGTTGTGAGTCGTGAGTACTTACCTACCGACAAAGTTTCCAGGTAATTGAGACCTTCCTAATTTGAAACCACTTTTTTAAATAAGTAAATGCCAATCTTTTAACACTAATCTAACCTTCTAATTTCAGGCCAAAACCGTGACCACCTCAATTTTCAGGTCACAAAGTTGTCTCGATTTGGAGGGCGAACTGTATCTCGCTCACAAAATAACATCTGATTTGTTTAATGAGAAAGTCAACAATACTCTATTGGTATACTGTATATTGATTTTATTAAACACTACATACAGTTTATATAATTCTAAGTACAAGAGATAAAATACTACTCTCATTTTGACCTATAAAAATAACTGATGGGTGAGAGAATTAAAAAGCACTTTACACATGCAATGCACGTGTGCAAATGTTGTATTCCAATATTTAAACTATACACCATCAGCAATTTTAAACATGCATAGTGAATTAATGAATTGTGCATTTGTAAATGTACAAATTAAATACATTAATTTCATCTAAAATCCAGGAAGCTGAGGAAAAAAAAAATTACACCCCTTCAGTCATGTTATTTAGTGTATTGTCTGGTGTACTGTACAAATTATAGTTTGTCATTAAGTATGTCTAGTATATTTGTTTTAAGACAATAATCTTGCCTACAAGTAATTATTTTTCATCATTGCCCTACAAAGGCTTACTATAGTGACTGGTGTAAAAAAATATAATGACTACAAGCAGATATAATTAGAAAAACAGGGGAACACAATGGGGCTGTGCCAACAATTCAGAGTGTTTTAAAAAAGAAAGTTTTATAAAAGAATTTTGGCAGCAAAAAATGAAAGAATGTGCTCCCAATGTCCTTCTGCATCAGAAATAGGCTATATGTAACAATATGCATCCGAAGAGTATACGCCAACCAATTCTTCAACAATACACCACTTTAATGTATATAAATGAAATAAAAAATGTATAAATCTATATTGAGAGAAATAATTTAATATTATGTAATTTATCTTTTAATATAATATTAATGTTGTAACGAAAATGGCAATATACCTGAAAATAAACTTAATAGAAATAGTACTTGTCAATATGGAAAGACAATATTTGAATAGCACCATTGGATTGGAGGCTGATTTAATTTATTCATAAGCCAACCTGTGTATTTCATGGATAATTATATAAGGTAAGGTAAGTATGTCACTCATAGACTAACAACATCACTGTTGAATTTTATTTTATTTTTACTTATACCAAGTCACTGATTATAAATATTTTATGATTCTGCATCTTCTGCATCTTCACTTTATACAATATTTGCATAGAAAAACCAATATAATTTTGATTATTATTTTTTGTTGTTTTATCTTAGCATGATAACAAATAATGAAATCAGTGGTCACCTTATCGTACAGTAAAAATTAAGCCATTTACAATTCTTTTAGCTACACATTTGAGAACACAATTAATTATTTATCAATACATAGGATATGTAAAATAGAAATGAAGAATCATATACAGTTGTTAAAAGATTTGATAATTATTAAAAATATGTTATGTGTTTCACTGAACATACATGCATTAAAATGAAGAGCATAGAGGAAATTATGGTAACACACCCTGTTGAAGATTTTAAAGTTTGTGTCTGCAGCACTGGTATTTTTTCATAAAATATATGTTACTTTTGACATTACAAAATATGAATATATAAAAGAGAAAAGAAAACAAGAAAGCATAACTTGAATTATTAGAACATGCCATGTTGAATATTGTCATGTCAGAGTCAATATTAAGTCACTGTATGAAATTACCTAAATACCAATACTAAATTAATACATAAAAAAATGTACATACTAAAATATATACTCTTGGATTACCTAGTTGTATATCAAATAGATAGGCAGTCAGTATTCATACAAGGAAACACATATAAAAAATATGTTACTGATTATACAGCTTGATTGACAGGTTTTGATTCTTAAATTGATGATAAATAAATAAAATCTAAAATGATGGCTTGCATCACTTTCTTCCGAGTTGTTTCACACTCCTTTGTGTACTGAGTTAATGTAGAACAGTATATATACAGTTGAACTTGCCCAAGTCGAATTCAAAATGCCATTGAAAAATTGTTCGACTTAGATAAAATTTGACATACAGATCATTAATTAATGAAAAACACAACTATTTGGCATGTAGAATAAGATCGAAATTATTTGAAGTTGACTTAGGCAAGTTAAGACAATAATTTTTAAGTCAATTAATCAATAATTTTAATCACAAATAAGAAGGAAAATATAGATAGGCCACATATTACATTAAAATATATTTTGGAACTGGCTGATGGTCTGTCTAAAGATATGTAGGTATGCTTTCATGAACTGTTTGAAATAAGATAGTAATCATTAAACAAGGCCAACCTACTACAGAAACTAATATAACTGTGCCTATTATGTTGATAATGAACTATTATAATCAGTGGCATATCTAGGTGAAGTAAATTCCCCCTCCACCCGAAAAAAGCTTGCACCTCCCCCCCCACCAGTCGCCCTCTGAAATTTTTTATAAATAAAAATATCAGTTCTAAGTAGTGAAAAATCGCCTTATACCACCTTGTTTTGTCAGCTAGCACCCCCTTGCTTTAACATTGAGCCCTCTCACTCCATCTTCACTCCCCCTCCTTATCAGCAACCCCATTTCAATATCCCTAGATACGCCACTGATTATTATGTTCACAGTTATGATTATGAAAATGATGATTATATTTATGAATATGATGTTGATGAAGAAGATTATAAATATCATGATGATTATCATGATAATTACTGAGATGATTCTTTTAATTATGAGAATAGTTACTGTATTATTCGTAATTTTTTAGCACCGATGAAGTGTCTAAAATGTTTAATATTTACAATTAAAATTAATCATGATTAATTACCTAACTACATTGCAAGATTCTATGAGTATTAGATAAAACAGTCCATGATTTTAAATATTGAAAATGATAAAAATATGTTGATATTATTATCATCATCATAATAATCATTGATAGAAAATTTGTGAACTGTTGACTAAATTCTGTTTGCAGAGTGAAAAAAATGAACTTTATAACCCTTTATACTTCTTCTATCCCTTAGAAAATCATGTATAATAATCATATAAAAATAAAATAGTTTTTAAAAAGTATAAATTACAAATATATATTTATTCCAGCAGTGTTTTCTGATGCAATGCATGATGCGCAAGGCCTTTTTGGAATTTGATAACTTAGCTTACACTAGGTGATTTATTTTTTCATCCATTATTCATATCGATTTCCTCAGGTTGCTCAACGATTGTAGCATTTCCTACAAATATTGGACACTCCTCTGCCTTGATACAGCTGCCGTTATGCAAGACACGACTGGCTGCACAATTACAACCGGGGACGCATGGTCGCAGACACCGGTCGTTTATAGCAGACAATGGCAGATCTTTGTTTTCGCACGTTTTAGGGCACGCTGGGCCACATTCATCAAAGGTAAAACCACGATCTTTCGGGCAGTTGACAGCTGTAAAATATGAATTAATATAACGGTAGTTAAGAGGTGTAGTTGTATCTCATGATACCGGGTTGAAATCAATTATTCAAATTGAAACCAAGATTTAAAAGCATCATAGAGTTCCAGAGACTCCAGGTTAGACAAATTTGCAGGTGCGAGACTGAAAATTCTGCGGCCTAGTGTAGGGGACTTGATCTACTCCCGCCTTGAAACTTGAATTTTTCTCTTTTAGACCAAACGGTCTCCACGTCACTGAGATTTTCCTGAGAATTTATGAACTATCATTCAAACTTACATCATAGGAATGATGGTCAAAGTTATTGCCCACATTTTAACCAATCAGATGCCTAGAATCTATGTATGCGGTATATAATAATTTTTATACAGTTGCCCTAACCGAATTGAACTTACCACAAAGTGAAGCCGTTCTCCAGTTAAGATTAATGCCAATCTGCCTGCACTCGGCAGCGTAAGCGGATAACACATCACACAAACATGTATCACTTGATCCACACGCACACAGGTCATACACGCAGGATGCGAAGTAGTCCTCTGGTGGAATGGCAACGTGACATTGTGCAAAGCGAGGTGACTTGAGAATGCCACATTTTGCATTCACCATCGTTCTTGCCATGTACGATGCTGATGCACAGGGGTCAATGTCTTCTACTTCACAATTACCATTACTGTAATCCTCAGTCTAAAGGAAAGATCAAAGACAACATATTATTATAGATTTTATTTTATTTTTAATAACTGGCAAAAAAAACCATAAACAAGCAGGTAGGTGCAGTGGTAATGGTATGGTTTGCCAATGTTGAAGTCGTGTTTCAACTCCTTGCTGTACATTTCAGTTGAGTCCTTGAGCATGGAACCTTCCTTTGCTTTTCTTCTCTCCAACATTGAGTATAATAGCAGAGAGTATAGAATTTGCAGGAGGTCTGACTGCCCTGACTTTGTATTCACGCAATGGAACATTAAAAAAGAAGTACAGCCACAAGATAGGGGGCGTCATATTAGAATTCAAATAGAGTTAACTCAAAACTTGTCTTTTAAGTACACACCCCTTCATGGCAGTATTTTTTGAAAATAGGATTATATTCCAATGAAACCATCAGAGTCGGACCTCTTATAGTTCTATACTCTTTGATAATAGGGATAATAGGGTACTGGTGGGCTCCCTGCTACTGCACTGTTATGGCAGCAATACTGAATCCAAAAGGATAGGTGCTATATAAACGTTCAGTTACACATAACACTTACACACAGTGATTCGTCGGCAGACCGTTGGCCGACACAGTGTGTTCCTGGCTTTAGTCTACCAGGTTCTCATTTAAACACTTGAGTAGTGAGAAGAAGTATCCATAAATTGCCTTGTTTTACCTTCCAACTATTTCCAAATTCGGCTACAGAACTTGTAAAGCGTCCAGATCGTAGTTTAAGATCATCCTGATGGTACCCGTTGAAGTTGCCGCACAGACCGCAAGTCTTGGTGGCATATGACCCTGGAACACTGACCTCTAAGTAACTCCGACCATCCCATAGCACCTAAAAAATAAACATTCTAGTGATTCCTTTTATATCGTAAACCAAGATAGTAATTTTGTTGCTGGATTGTTATTCTAATTATTACATTTTCTTCTACATAACTGAGACTCCGACTGAAAATGTCTGTTGCACACATGAACAATCAAGTGATCACAAAAATTTTTAAAATGTGTTAATTATGGAACTGAATATTCATGATATGTAAATAAGTATAACTAAAGGAAGTATACCTTTAATCCAACATTTGTTGTTAGGTAGAAATTGTTGCCTTGAGTTTCAATTGAAAAATGAGGAGCAAGAAGATATGGCAGCATCACATTGAATCCATCAACCTAATATATAAGGAAGTAAAATATCTCGTATATATTTTTAAAAATATATTAAATATTATGTTTTATTTAGTATTATTTAAATATGTACATATCAGATCCATCAGATCTTAATTCATTTTGGTGCTGCATGGAATACCTTCTCTCCTATCTGTAGACAAGTTATTACGAATTGATTTTTATCAATATCATTATTTGAACTATTTGTTTGTTGTGTATTCTGGATGAACTATAAATAGATAAATAGATAGATAGACCAATGGCTTAAACATTTCCGAATGGCAATGCGCTATCATAACTTGCAATTTAGCTCTCCAGCTGAACGCAAGAAAAGTAGCGATGGGAATTGAACCAAGGACCTAGGTATCTCCACGGTTTAGTGCGCACACAATGGCTACCACCAGTTTAGCTGACTGAGCTAAGCTGCTCTCTATTTTGACAATAACATAGTTTGATTGAGCCTGCTACTTCCCTTGTGTTTTAGGTGGAGGGCTAAAAAGCAAGTATCAAAACGTGCAGTGCACTGTCTTTCAAAAGAAACCCTAGTTGGTCCCATTTGCAATATGGCCCATGTGCATGTTAAGGAATGCAGTACACGGAAAAGAGTAGGGGAATTTCTTCTGGTGTAATACTTTACCATCAGATGAACACCCATTGGAAAAAAGTCTTTTATAGATCATCCTTGGTGTTCACACTGCATACATCTAAAAAGTTTCGCCAAATATGAACATTCTATTATTGTGAGTACACAGACTCTGCTTTATAGGCAAATGAATATTGATCAGAAATTAAGAAAAAAACACTTTAATATTGACCTTTGCAACACCACCTTGACCTATTTCAATCTCATGACCTCCGATCATCACTGTGACCTCTTCGGTCCATGACACTCCATTCTGCCCCCGGTTGTCATTCTTCACCTCAACGCTACAGATAAGAAAAACAATATTACATTTTAATATGCTACTCTTGAAAAAGAATGGAAATTTATATACAAACTGATGGAATATTCCTTACACAAAGTCTTCATTCTCGCAGTCCATTGCCATGATGTAGCGGCATGCTCCTTGGAAGTGAATCATCTTGTTATCGAAGGTTCTGTAGTGAGGATCTCCAAATGCAACACATGTTCCAGGCTCTATACAAACAATAACACAAAATACAAGATGGAGAAACCATTTGCATTGAAGGGTAAAACGGTTTCATGGTAGTTGATCCTAGCTATCTTATGTGCTTTACAAATTCTACTAACATAACACAATACTGAAAGTAAAGTTTGGGTTAAAATTTTGAAATAATATGGTAACTTACTTGTCATACACATTGGACAGCACTGGCCAGGTGGCAGGTATAAGATCTCATCCTGAAAAGAAAATAAATTTGAAGACGATTAACCAATAACATCTAAATGAAGATGTTGGGAATATTTGCCTGTGTGGTTAGAAACTTGTCCAAAAGGATCAGAACTTACAAGCATCACATAATTGCTTCTGGTTGCGCCATCACCACAAACAGCGCTCTATGTGTCTGTGCAAATTGGGACTAGGCTAGGAGCCGACAAACAGAAAAACATTGTTTTCTTATAGGACAAGGTAAACGCAAATTGTACTTATGTTACAATGTTATGTACATTAGTTTTCTTTTCATTGTATTGTGTCCTTCAAAGTAAAGTTTTCCAACACTCTTGTCTAGGAACAGTGCCATTTGTCTGTTTATCCAGATATCTAACTTACAGAATACGAACATCGCCATTGATTTGTGTAATTTGGCAGCAATAAATATGAATGTTTCAATGATTATATGGATAATAAATGATATGAAGCAAATCTTACTGATTTGCAGCTAAGCTGACGGCATTTTGTTCGAACACAGCGAGTCTCTCCCTGATTGCATAGACATGATGTACATTCATCCCGCTTCCACTGTTCACCAGGCTAGAAGTAAACAAAGAAAAAAAATAATATTGTATTAATATTATACTTACATATTTTTCCTAATTCATGTAATATTTATCGAATTTTATTTTTTACTTAACTACTAACATATTAGAAGGTTTATATATTTGTAAGATGAATGCTACAGACAAGTATTGACAACGCTGGATGAATGAAGGAAAAAGTGTCACAAAAAACGAAAGTACATGTTGGATAAACAGAAAACGAATGTTGGGAAAATGAAAAACAATGTCTTAACAAAAAATAAATTATTAGCAAAAATAATTTGTTTTGAATTATCACATACCTGATACAGCAAACCATCAAAATTACATGGACTTTCACTGGCTATAATTATAAAGAAAAAAAAATAATTTTACCAAATTGAATTCTTTTCATGATATTCAAATACCAGATTAAGTTAGGTATAATCTGTAAAATCTCGCTCAATATCTCACCTCGGCACACAGAACAGCAAGCCCCTTTAGGAAGATGCTCAACAAAGCCTTCTCCACAGTTCAGTGGTCTGCACTGGTCCATCTGGCAACTGACTGTACCTCGCTAAATAACAGAAGTGATAAATGAGTTAATCATGAGTAGATAATGAAAAATAAAATAATACAAAATGAACATTATACTGTATTAGTCAGTTAAAATATCTAAAATGAAACACTGGTAGCACCTTATTACACAAGCTTTCGCCAACAGTCTATGCTGGCTTCATCAGCGGCATAGACTGCTGGCAGAATCTTGTGTAATAAACTATATAAAGTTAGTAAATAAACTGCCAGATAGTACAGTGCACCCTCCAAGACCTTCGAGACCGCTCTAATTCTGAGACCCTTCCAATTCGAGACCACTTTTTCAAAGAACTAAATACCGATCTTCAGTCTTTTAAAACTAAGCTAACCCTCTAATTGGGGACCAAACCCCGAGACCACCACAATTTTCAGGTCCCAAAGGTGGTCTCGAATATTGGAGGGGGCAAACTACATCTACAAAGATAAATAAATTATGAAAAATCGGACATTTCTAAAATATATACACTAAATGATTTGATGTATGAACATTAAGTCGATGCACTGAAATCTTAAACAGTCATTATAGGTAAAACTATTACATAAGGTATAAATTGATTGACTGTTTAACTTGATTTCTTAGCTATAATTATTTTAACAAATTGGAATTCAGGTTAATGAATGTAAACTTACATTACAAGTACAGGTGGCGCAAATATTCCTTGGATCTTTCCATGTCTCACCATTCAGGTAAACTAACACATCACCAAGTTCATCAACATAACATACTTTAAACAGAACAGAACAAAAAATAATACATTGATGAATACAAATATTTAAATTAATTAAAAATTACAATTTTAATGTAACACGCTTACTATTTTGTTTATATCCTACACAAATATAATTCTTTAAAAAATGTTGTGGTTATTTTTTGTTGTGGTTGAAATCCTCAACAGTCTTTACCTTCACAATGGGGGCAGCAGTCGCCTGGATTTGAAATCTGTTCTCTGATTGGACAGTCAAGTGCTGGGCACATTTGCATTCTGCAGTCCCAGCGACCAACTTCCTGAAGTCATGGAAGTAAAATGATAGATCAATATAATGTAAAGGGATGTAAATTTATTGTTAAGTAAATTATAAAGATTAAGGACAGCTAAATGTTAATATTACCCAATCTCCTTTTTTAATCATTATAAATCATCATAAGGTTTGTCTACGACATATTGATACATAATCATGCATTATTATTATTATTATTATTATTTTACAACTCACTGTAAAAGCATATTAATTCTCGACAGTGCTCATTATTATATGCCATATTATATCATGCAGTAACGTTTCCTTACTCCATGGTTATATGTATAAAATGGGCTAATGGCCTACTGATCTTAGGAATAAATTTGAAAATAAATTAATACTCACCGCACAATGACAAGTATAACATTTATTGCCAAATGGTTTCATTGTCATGCCAATATTTTGTAGAGAACAGTTGAAATTCAGAGATAATGCTGAAATGCAAGATTAAAAATGGTTGACAAATCAATGCAGAAAAAAGCCATAGAAAACACAGTTAGTAGTTTTTTTTATCAAGTGATGTTGGTAGTCAAATATTGGTATTTATTTTACATTTTCTTTTTTTACTTACCTGCATTACACGAAGAGCAGCATTCCCCAGGAGCAGGCGGTACGACATTTTCACTTGGACAATCCACTAACGACGGACAAGGCTCTCTGTAGCAGGTCAAACCATTCTTAAAGAAAAAAAAAACCAAAGAAACATATAAATAACTTCAAATTGGTGCTATGATATAGAATGATACAAAAGGCTAAAATCAATTCTAAAATATTTTGAATTAAACAATATATCGTTTTATTTTCCAGAATTTTGATACAAACTATTTTTTTAAACAACTTACTATGCAGTAGCAGGTTTCACATGGGTCATTGCTGGGTTGAAATCTTTCGCCTTCGTCGTAGGTCACACCATTAATCTCACACCCTATACATCATTAAATTTCAAGAAACAATCAAAATAATCTAGCAGACATTTTATATTCCTTTCATATCTATTTATTTGAAATTATAAACCACTGTTAACATTAAGGGGCCTGTATCATTTGCTGGTAGCTGGTGTATGGTGTTTGTCATTTTGTTAACAGTGTTTGTAGTTTTCTATATTTTAAAAAACAAAATGTCCTTTAAAGTTCACTTCAGTTTTGTTCCTCCCACTGATGCCAGTCACATCCCAGAGGCAGTCTTCCAGCATCCAAATATATGCTGGTTCCTACTGTTGAAAAAACAAGAACTTTTTGACTGTGTTAGCTTCTTAGCTTGTCCCGGATCATTCATACTGAAGGAGATTGCTTATTTTTATCCATGGGTCATGATATCGTTTCCAGGCTTGTGCAAATAGCATTCGTTTTGCTAATAAATGTAATAAAAATATGTGAGCATGTTATCCTTGAGAACCCTGTTTAAAAATATTATTATGGTACAAGCTGTCCCTCACTCAGTTCCCAAGAAAGTGCCTTACAGGATTCTTGAAGCATCAATCCCCCTCCTTACCTGGGCATATGGGACAGCACTGATCCTCCACCATAACAGGATTAGAACAGAAATCAGGAATTATGCACTGTAGTTCAGTACACATGGTGGTTCCCTCCTGTATAAACATTAAATAAAGAGTATAAGAAAGTAGAATTGAAAATAAAATGCATCAATATTATAATTACATGGTTGTTCACTCTATACATTAAATTATACTATATTACATTACTTTACTTTCAGGCTCTATCCAATGTAAAACATATCCCTCCTATAAAATCTATCACTGTTTTTTGCTACAAATGTCCTGTTTGGAATGTTTACATTACATTAAATATTTTATTATATCTATCAAAAAATGATAATGAAGATGATGATAATGATATAATAATTATGGGGATAAGAAGTTGAGAGATGATAAGAGTGATAATGAAAATATGAGGCATGTCGTGGCAAAATGGTTAAATTGTCGCACAGACCAGTATTGAGTAAAGTAGCTATAAAATATGGTAGCTCAAAAAATTGCCTAAAAATCCAATTTTTTTTTCACTATAGATCAACAGTTTAATGTCTTATTAATCATGTCCCAAAGTATTAGTTCTGGAAGTGATCAACAAATTGT